TGATCATTAGCTGCGTCCCTGCAGAGAGAGATAAATGCATCAGCTAACAGTGTTTTTGTTTTTTGCTACAGACGTCCCTGTGATGTCACTGCCGATGCATTTTTCAGAGCGTTTGATTGCATGTATGTATCTAGTATGTCGTGTGCTGCTCTGCAAACACATGATGACATGTTTTACTGGGATTGTTTTCCAGAAGACGTGACTGGATTTGAATCCACGGCTTATTTTTAAACACAACACACAGGGCTGATATTACAGGCATTCTCAGGGTCGTGTCCTTAAATGTCCTCATTACACACATACACTCTACACCGTGTTCTCTGATTCACCAGACTCTTCATGCACCAAAACTGCCAATTTCAGATGTTGTATTTCGAGGCAGGGACACATTGTCATTGACTGCATTTTTTAATACAACATTGCTCCAGTATGAAGTTATTTAATCTGCACTGTCGCCCACTCTCCTTCTTCCTCTGTTATAATCAGCTGTTTGTAAACATGAAAAAAAAAATCGAATTCCAACCTGTTTATTTTTAGATACACTATTTTGCCAAAAATATGTGGATACCATTGTACAGTTTTAGATCCCAAGCACTGACACGTGTGAGGATCCTGTTGAAATGCAACACATGAAACACATTTTGTGAGGAGATACAGCTGCTTGAAAACTCACCAAACTTGCACACTCATTAGAACTGGTGAAAAATTCAATATTTTACGGGTTTCGTGCTTCGGTGTGACAAAATGGCTCTGAAGCACCCTCCACAGAAATTCAATAGACTGTACATTTCACTTACAAAAATTTGAAGGCACACGTAACATCATAAAAGTCTCTTGGAACCACACCCTCAACCCAACAGGAAGTCAGCCATTTTGAAATTGATTTTTTTTTTTTTTTTTTTTTTACATTTGCAGCAGTCATGTTTTAAATGTATATTTCTTGTGAAAACAAAGGTGGATTTGGAAAATATGCAATGTATTTAGCGTCGTAAAATTACATGCTGTCCAGTAAGGTCAACAACAAACACAGGAGGATGCCTAGCGCGGAATATGTAGACGTGAACAGCACTGACAAAGCAGCGATATTTGAAAAGTCAGGATGAGAATGTGTTCACTTTTTCTGTGAAAATCAGTCATCAGTATGACATAAGTCAAAATGTTCAGTTGGAATCTCATATTTTTAAATCGGAAATTCTGAATAAACAATTTTGAGCTATTTCTTAATTTTTCTTTTACTTATTTCTGCATTTTCTGAAAAGAGAAGTTTGATTGTGATTTTTCAGAACTGAACAATGTCCTCTCATACAACGGTTCGTATGATGTCCCACAAATTAGCGCCCCACACATTCGTTACGTAGTTAACATAAAGTTACTTTGGTTAGGTTTAGGAAAAGAAAAGCTTTGAACCAAACAGCTTCAAATTTTCTCTGTGCCATCTGAAGACCTTTGACATGTAAAGTTGTTACAAGCTTGCTTACAAACTCCAGTGTACACGGTCAAATCTGCCCCAAACTCACAACATGAACAATAATAAGTTATAGTTATGGTGCCACCTACTGGCAACAGGAAATGGCATATTTTGTACTTTGATTTACTCCTCCTAGCAAGTTGACCACATCCACCTCAAATTTGTTCTGAAAAGCCGGAAGACCTTGATGATGCTTTATAGAGAGGATGGTGAGTTTTAGTCAAATGGTGTTGCCGTGGCGCGGCGATTGTTTTGCATGTGAAGTCAGCCCCAGATTTCTCTCATGCTGTACAAGAGTCCCGGCCTCATGACATGTATGTGCAAATATTGAGTAATAGTCACAGTGCTACCGACAGGCAACAGGAAATGACATGTTTTCTACTTAACACTTCGACCAGATACGACTCAGATGTGGTGAGAAAAGCCGCAAGATCTTGAGGATGCTGTCTTGTGATAATTGTGAGTTTTCATTGGTCGCCATTTCGATGGCGGCACATTATTCGCCATGAAACAGGAACTTGTCCAATTGTTGTCCAATCTGCCCAGACATGACATGTTTGATAAGACCCCAGGCCTGAAGACATCAACATGCCCAACTTGTTCTCATTCCAAAGTCGTCAAATACCACCGCTTTGTCAGCTGATGCATTTATCTCTCTCTGCTTTGTCACTTTGTCAATACGCCGCTGGGCAGCGCCAGTTTGTAATGGCATCATGTAAACAAATGTGTACATATGAGCTGTGTGCTCGAGATAAAACTGAAGACGTAACCACTTAAAAAATGGGTGAGTTGTCTACTTGCTGTCTTTCTACGTTGGTTACATTACTTTTTAAACAAAAAACATACATATTTTACATGTGATATTTACTGTAAATAACACGATATAGTCAACAGCAGGTGGGCTAGCTTGTATTATTAGAGATGATCATTGGCATGGTCACAGCTAACCAGAGACTATGAGCGTGTTGGCGATCTCTCTACAGCCAGCTGCCACCTTGTGTTTTTGTGGTGAGTAAGAAGGAATCATGTAGATAATCTGGCATTTCAACTCAATGAATCAGCCTTTCTTCGTCCATTGTGGCACTTTCAAAGTGAGCAACAGATGTAAATCAAAACTTTAGACAGTGCTGTGTCGCCTGCATTCACCTCTTTTGTCGGCTTCTAACCCAAAATGTTGTCATATTGCTGCAGTTTTCTTGAGAGAATAACTCCTCTTGTCACCCCAAAAAATATGTGAACGTTTTGCCTCTATTAAAGTTTGATCTCTTTCATGTTGCCTGTGCTCAGCTCTGCGGTAAATTACATAAGGCCTGTCGGACCGTAGCGGCTCCATTCGTCTGTTTATAAATATAATGCTAAATTATTCACAGTGTAGTATTTCTTATTGCTAATGTTATATGAGTTGGATTTAGTGCTGTGACGCCTTCTGTATGATGTAGAGTACTATTAATTTGTCAGAATGTGTTATAATGATAAATGCCTGTAAAGCTGGTTTGCCTAAAATCAACCGGTTTAAGTTTGTACATCAGACAGACCCAACTCTACCATGTGTCATTAAATATACTGAGATGAATGCATCATTAATATTTCTGGGTATAGTTTTATGAGGGACGACACAGTGATGTAGTGGTTAACATTGTCACCTCACAGCAACAGGGTTCCTGGTTCAAACCCCTGGGTGGGGGAGCTCCCCCATGTAGGACCTGCATGCTCTACCTGTGTCACAGTTGGTTTTCTCCGGGTACTCGAGCCCAGGCTCACCTCGAAGTCGTCGACATCCGGTGCTTGGGCAGTGACTTGCATGCAGCGTCACAAACCAATGGCATCCTTTAACATCGGCATGATACGCAACCGCTTGCCATTATAGTTTAACGGCGCCCCGCAGCATCAGAGGATTAATGCGGCAGGACAAGGACGAAAGTTGAGGCGGCGAAAGTCAGAGTGGGGCGGGCAGGAGGGGTTGTACTGTAGTAAATGGGTCCAACTTACACAGAGTTTCACCTGAGAGAGCGGTTTTCGCATCCCATAAGATTCTAAAGCCAAACCCTGCTCTTTTTTCCTGAACCCAACCACGTGCTTTTGTTGTTGAAGGGAAAGAAACATCAATTTGTAGTGTTGTACCTACGTAGTGCTTTTATTTTTAAAGAGACTGTATGAAAACGTCAGATTTCCTGTGAAAACGCAAGTGTATCTCGAAAGAAGAGAACTTGACACAGCTTCCCAGAACGTCAACAACCAACACACCCAGGGTACCTTGAACGTCATATGTGGACGTGGAAAGTCCATGACCAAAATGTCAATATGTGACGAGGTCGGAGTGAGAATGTGATGGGTACTCCAGCTTCCTCCCACAGTCCAAAGACATGCAGGTTAACTGGTGACTCTAAATTGTTTGTAGGTGTGAATGTGAGTGTGAAAGGTTGTCTGTCGCCATGTGTCAGTGTGATAGGCTCCAGCACCCCACGACCCTCAACAGGATCAGAGGTTATGGAAATAAATGAATGAATAAATATAAATATTCAATTTTACCTCTCTCTGTGATTGGATTAATGTTAAAGGCAGTTTTGTAACAGTAAATGTTTAACGTGTGATATTTCTGATCTCACAGCCGCAGAGAAGCAAAGAGTGCACGGTCTATGAGGAATGATCCAACGTGGGATGGATCTATTTTTGTCGGTACAGATTCTATTGACGCGAGCATCGATACCCAAAACGAGGCTTAGTATCTGTAGCATCATCCTCTCAGCCCTAAAGAGATAAAAACCCTTCTCCCAGTTTGATGTGGAAGGACTTCACTGGCCTGCCCAGAGCCCTGACCTCAACTCCACCCAACACCAACGCTGACAGCGAGCCAGGCCTTATCGCCCAACACCAGTGCCAAATCTCACTAATGCTGGCCAAGAGCAAATCCCTGCAGCCAGCTTCCAAAATCTGATGGAAAGTCTGGAGGCAGAAGAGTGGAGGCTGTTGTAGCTGCAGATTGATGGTTCAGGCCTGAGAGTCACATATGGGTGTAGTGTTCAGTGTCCATATACTTATGATGATGTAGTGTAGATTCAAAAAGTGGCCTCATTTGACCGTAATCCTAATTTGGTTTGATTCGCCCTCCAACCAATCGCCCACTCTGTTTCCCTTTTCTCCCACTACCTCTCCATCCTCTGTCCTCTCCTTTTCCATCCTTCCTCTTCTTCTCTTTTCATTTCTCTCCCACTCTCTTCTTTCTTTCTTACTCTCCATCCCTCCCTGTCGCTCCTGCTCTCCCCTCTCTTATCCCTCCCCCATCTGTGGGAAGCTGCCGTTGTGCGCATGTCGCCGATGAGTCAATTTGTGGAGGCAGTGCACGCACGCACACACACATGCACGCACAAACACACACTCACACACACACACACACACACACACACACACGTATCCTGTCTCCCACGAAGGCATCTGTTTTAGTCTGTCTCTCTGTGAGATGCAGCACCAACAGAGGAGAGAGGGGGAGACAAACAGAGGGAGGCAGAAGGAAGAGGAGAGGTAAGAAAAAAGAGGAGACAGAGCAGAGAGGAAGAGGAGAGAGAAGGAGTGAAATTAAAAAAGAGTGAAGAGACAGAAGACAAGTGCAGCTAAGACAGGACAGATCTGAAGAGGAGAGGATGCTGCTGCTGCTGCTGCAGCTGAGCATCTCTGCCTGACTTCTGAGGAGTTTGGGCTCGGACATGACGGAGATGCAGCACCTGTGTGTCTGAGCATCTTTCAGTTTGTGTGTTAATGTGTGTGAAGTCATGGCGAGCGCTCAGCCGGGGGTCCACGCTTTAAAACTCCAGCCTCCCTCCGTCTCTCAAACACTGAAGAACGGAAGCAACTTCATTAAATGGGACGAGGTAAGGATGCCGATTTCTTTCCTTGAGTACTTCCTGCTGACAAAAAGCAGAAACAGTCTTTATTTGCTTTTTCATTTTGGGGTTTATTTTTATTTTTGTAATTTTAAATATATTTTGGCAATGTCAGAATTTTATCATCGTTATGCCGACTTGAACTGACTCTAGTTGGAGTGAGAGAAAAGGAGGAGGAAGAGGAGGAAATGTGCCATGTTGTCAGATGTGTTTACTATTCATTTGTTGATTGAGCTTTGGCAGTAAATACCTGAGGATTAGACGCCAGCAAGACACACAGGAGAGTGACACAGTGTGTGTGTGTGTGTGTGTGTGTAATGCAATTGTGGTCAGTTTCTTTATTGCCACCTGTTGGTATGGAGATCCATCAGTGCACACACACACACACACACACACAAACACACAGTGTACAGTGTGTGTTTGTGTATTTAAATATGTATAAAACACACACACATGCAGAACTCCTCCAGAGCTGTCATGTGCACACTCACACACAGTCACATAATTGTAGGTATTGTGTGTGTGTGTGTGTGTGTGTGTGTGTGTGTGTGTGTTGGTATGCTGAAATACTGAGGTCTGACAATGAGAAACGTGCTGTCCGGTTGCCATGGTAACTGGCATGGTTACTATCACCTAAACGGATCTGATGTGTTTGAGAAAGAATGGATTAGTGTGTGTGTGTGTGTGTGTGTGTGTGTGTGTGTGTGTGTGTGTAAATCAATGCATTGAGCCATATGATATCATGAATCATACTTAAGGAAGAACTGAGCCAATATACTGTTGAATCTTCTCACTGTGATTGAACCAACTGAACTGTGCGAGTGTGTGTGTGTGTGTGTGTGTGTTTTGCTATTTGAATATTTTCTGAACACGTACAGCTGGGTTTTATGAAAAATAGAGTTGGTTGCCATGCCAACGAGTGACAACCAGGGATCTAGTTAACCATCTTCTGAGCCTCGTTTTTTTTTTTCTTCTTCTAGTTTTTCTGCTTTTGAATGTAGGCTGCACTATTTATGAGGAAAGCAGCTCCGACAGCAGGATTCACGACCTTTTCACAAAACATGCAAAGAAATATTCAGAACTTTATGAGCGCCGACATCTCTACAAATATGTTGGCAGAGTGTTTCCCCACCAGAGATCCTGCCTGGGCCCTGTACTGTGTGTTTAATGTGCACTTTTTCATGTATTTTTAATTTGCAAAAGTTAATTTGAAAACTCAATTTTCTTCTTGACAGAGTACAGAAGCATTTTACAAGCTCTTCCCTTAAGAAAAGGTTTTAATGACCGTCCCCTCCAGAAATATGACAGGACTCATGATTGTTCAAACAGCTTAAAACACTAAAACATGTTTATGTTCAGAGCCATGATGGAAATAAAGTCACACGATAAAAACAAAAAAGGTGCAGAAGTCCAAGGAGACCTGCCGTGTGTCTCAAATCACATACTTCTGAACTAAACATTTGATATTTTGACTGCACTGAGTGCATTCACACTGCACAGTACGGAAATATGCAGTGTACAAAAGTTGAGTGTTGAATGATGGACACTTCTCACCCCCAACAGTCGCCATCTTTGAGACGTAGCAAACTTCACAACTTTTAACATGGCGGCTGGAGACAACAAGGAGCCTGATAGTTTTACATGTTTTTTGCACAAAGTACCAAAACTTGTCAAATAGAAGCCGCCAGTAATGTTTAGGTCCGTTTCCACCGCGGGAACTTCGGGGTAATTTTATGGGGCCGGGGCCGTTGGTGCGTGTCTCCACCGCAGGAACCACCCCCGAAGGACAGAGTTCCTGAACTTTTACAGGGGCTTAACAAGTCCCTGCCTCGGTGTAGGTACTCAGAACTGCCCCTTTATACTCCTGGCTTGGGCTTGGTGTTTATTTGGTGCTGATTGGATATACTCAAGGCGGGATGTGACGTCAACAGAAAGCGACAAAATAGACTGCATTTTTAAAACTCAGCAGACGAGGGTTAGCTCGGTCATAGCTTCCTTCGCCATGTAAACGAAGAGACACGCCAGGACCACAGCAACCACCTCAGCTCCTTCTGTAAGGGATAACGTATAGTGAGCCGGTGACTGTTGAAAAATAACTCCCAACAGGGGAATGGAACCCCAACGTGCAGCGGAAGGGAGTTATTTTTCAGCTGTCACTGGTTCACTATAGAGGAGTTTAGCTATATACATACATATATATATATATATATATATACATCACATTTTTCACATCACTATATCACCGTTAAGACTAATCTGATGTTTGTAAAGTCTATAAACACAATGAGTGAACAAACCTTACTATTTCTGTGTGCATGTTTTGTAATTAATAACATGGTTATCATAGATTAGCTGGGCTAACCGTTAGCTGTTAGCGGTGTCTGTAATAACTCAATAAACGGTCCGTGAAAAAAATATTTTTTCCAGCGGATATCTTAGTTACAACATGATTGAGCTAGCAAAGCAGTTTTTTGTTGTTATGTGTGGTATTTATTCAGTTTTGGGAAATCACGATGTCTAGAAAGCATCAGCTGACAGGGACAGCTAACAGCAGCAGCAAAGCTAACATCAGGACGTCATCTGTTAAAAGCCTCCCGTTGTCGGATACGACATGAAACTACTCCAGTGAGCTCAATCATGTTGTAACTAAGACATCCGCTGGAAAAAAAAAATTTTCACGGACCTTTCATTGAGTTATTGAGTTATTACAGACGCCGCGAACGGCTTCCCTATGCCCCTACGTCGCCCCGGTCAAAATGGTCGCGCAACAATTACGTCACATCCAGAGCCCGTAACTTTACAGGAACCTTCCTCCTACTCCGCTCTCTCAGTGGAGACACGGCGGTTGAGAGGGCCGAGCAAGAGGACGTTCCTGTAGTAGTTTCTGTCCTGCAAATAGTACCAGGAACTTCTTCAGTGGAAACGGGCCTTTTGTTAGGTCTGTAATGATTTGGTACCGCAAACAATAATGGCGAGCTAGCTTGTTGGCTAACATGCTGCTAGCTATGGCGGCACATTTTAATCAGCATTGGCGCTGTGGGTTGTGTGTGGGTGGAGATAGCGGTCAAATCATGGCGATAATACTATACTACTATATATACTCGTTACCTGGAGAGGTTGGATGGAGCGATACTTTTCTTCCCAGTTTCAAAACTAAAGTCAAACCCTGAAAAGTGTAGGGTTAGCTAGCTGAAGGTATAGCTCACTGAACATACACATGCTACTGTTGCTTTTTTTATTTAACCTTTATTTAACCAGATAAAAGACCCATTGAGATCAAGACCTCTTTCACAAGGGTGACCTGGCCAAGAAAGGCAGCCGCACACGTCATAATAAATACTACAGATGTAAAGACAGATAAAGACATACAAACATTGAAATATAGAAATCTAAACAATTTGACAAATAAAGTGTAGGAGTTATGGTTTCAGTTACAGCTTAAGAACACAAGCACTGTTTGATAGATTCCCGTTCTTGGTCTTTTAGGATAGCGCGAAATGCTTCAGGTGAAATAAGCTCTGGTATTTTAAGTTCAGATTGGAGAGTATTCCGAGCAGAGGGGGCCGAGAAACTGCATGATTTTTTCCCATTTCAGTCCGAACACGAGGAGCAGACAGGTGCAAAATGTTGTTAGATCGTAAGGCATAATGGCTTTTAGTTCTCTGAAGAAAAGTGCATAAATAGGCAGGAACCAAGCCAAATGGAGCTTTATAAATCAGAATCATCCAGTGTGTATACCTTTGTACATTCAAGGAGGGCAAACCAGCTTTAGCGTACAGTTCACAGTGGTGGGTGAGGCGGCTGCAACCAGTAATAAACCTCAGAGCACAGTGGTAGACTGGAATCAAAGACTGTAGACAGCTGGTTGAAGCACACACAACATCGCCATAATCAAGTACAGGCAGAAAAGTAGCCGATGTCAGCAGCTTCCGAGCTCTGAGGGAAAAACACGACTTATTTCTGTAATAGAAACCGAGTTTAATGATTATAACGCTGAATAAAGACCGACCCTGCTGTTAAAGAACCAGTGAAGGGAAGCACGGGCACTTTGCTGATGTTGAACCAGCTGTGTGTCATCACAGTGTGTGCTGATGAACGGTGTTTGGCTTCTGGCGGAGGATCTCGAGGTCTGGCAGCTGGTGGCACAAGGAGGGAACTTTTTATCTGCGCACACTGTGATGACACACAGCTGGTTCAATATCAGCAAAGTTTCCCTACTCTTGACATCTCACTCGCCATTGGGTTCAAGCGACAAGCCATCATGGTGCAACGCAAGCCCACAGAAATAATGGGTCTCAGAGTACAGGGGTGCCGGTGTCGCGATGTATCTAAAAGGGCCACGCACAACACCATGGACTTAAGAGCTAACTGAATTGAAACTTTACAGAGTCCTGTGTTTTTGTTGCATCGTGGGGTGTTTTTAATTGTTGTTAAAATGACTCTGAATTCTTTCCTTCTTGTCATCAGTTCATTCTGACTTCAGTTTGTCTGCCAGCTTAAACACAACATTTACTGCAGCTCCTTTTATGGCTGCAAAATCAAGATTTTAATGAAATACTTTTAGGAACCCTACAGTTTAACATAGTTTACACCACATCTTATAACGTATTATTAGACATGTATTCATTATCTGATGGCGTCTGTCTGTACCAGTCTGCTGAGCGGTGTCATTGTTTGTAGACTTTTCTCCAGTATAAGTTTCCACATGATCCTCTGAAGTGTAAAAGCTTTTCAAACAGCAAAACATCAGGACACCTGCAATGCCTGAGTCCTCCTGGAGCCAATTAGAAACTGTCATGGTGGGTTACTATGGCAACAGGGACAATAGTTGGATGTCATGACGACTGAACAGAACTTTAGTTACATTTTGTGTCCAACAATCAACCAGTGTCTGCTGTTTTAATAAGCACAGTTAAAAGTTGACACTGTAGAGAATCATCATCATTTTGCAGCACTGAAGGTGCAGCTGGCATTTCATACAGTGAAAAGACAAATTCAGCTTCCAGTTTTAATTTGGCTCAGATTACTTCAGTCAATTATAGAACCCATTTTGTTCTACGGAAGCAAAGTGTGATGCAAACAATCGAACCTAAATCAATAGGAAAAGCATTGGATTGAAAATGCACATACTGAATTTTGTAAAGGCATCCATGCAGAGCTTAAGTAGGCCAATGTCGTTATTATTGAAAATCCATAAGCTCCATCTAAAACAAAGTGACCCCTGCTCCTGCCACCACAAAGCCCTGCAATTAGAAGAGATGATCAAAAACAGAAGCCTCACTCAGCTGTTTCTGACGCTTTAGCCCAGTTCAGACCAAAGATTCACGACGAGACGAGTTGAAACAGGCAACTACTTGCTACGCTTCTTTCTGCAACATTGTAAAAACCTGCCGGTTGACAGGAAGTGACCACCATGAGACAGTGCATCATCTCTAGTCAACAACTTTCTGTGCTTCTGATCTGTAACGTTGACAGGAAGTGACCGCCATGAGACGGCGCATCATCTCTAGTCAACGACTCTCTGTGCTTCTGATCTGTAACGTTGACAGGAAGTGACCACCACGAGACGGCGTATCATCTCTAGTCAACGACTCTCTGTGCTTCTGATCTGTAACGTTGACAGGAAGTGACCACCATGAGATGGTGTATCATCTCTAGTCAACAACTCTCTGTGCTTCTGATCTGATTTGCAGCTTTTCAGACTTATTTTGTGGCTGAATATAATTTGTAGCTTCTTAAACTCTGAATGAGGATAGTGATAGTGAGATACTGGCTACAGTGATGAAACAAAACCACCATCAGATGGACTGTATTCATAATCAGTACACCACAATAATATAAATAACCAGCGCCAATTCATCAGTCAATGAGAATGTGTGTGTGTGGGCGGGGCATAAGCACATACAGCCATCAGCAGCAGCAGCAGCGACCCACGGTTTGACACCAGCACACTCAGACCGGCCAGTTCACACCGCTGCTACTTTTCTCTGCAACGTTCTAAAATGGTTTGATCTTGTTGCGAATCTTTGGTCTGAACCAGGCTTTAGTTCTCAAACCAGTTCAAGCAGTGTTCAGATGGCAGATCACAGAACGATCAGACTCAAATGAATGATAACACAACTGAAACAAAAGTACCTCACTTAACGGAGCATAAAATTGCACGAAGTAAAATGTGATGTCCAGGCGCAGACGCTTCCAGTCACCTCTCTGTGGGCTGTGCTACATTTGGGCTAAATTTAGGCTCTTGTGTCTATTTTGGACGTGCTGGTGGTGTTGTTTGCAGTTGCCTTTGGATGGTTCTGGTGTGTGGCTGTGAGTCAACTCACCAGTCTGTAAACTCTGCTTTCGCCAACTTCTGCTAGCTCGCCAGGTCGATGTTTTCAAATGTAAACATCAAGGAAAGATGGATGGAATGAGCATCAGCTGAACAACCATCCTGCAAGCCATCATACGGATGTTGGAAATAAAGTGGAGGACCTCTGTGCTGCATCAGTGTCAATGGGATATCAGGAACTGTAATATCTTTTATTTAGCCAACCCTGGACAGGTAGTTCCTTTTCTATGCCGATGTGACAGCACAGAGTGCTCTGGTGAGAGCAAGAGAGGAGGCGGGTAAGGACTGGTGCGTCAGTGGTAATGTGAGGTGCAGTCCCAGCCGGTCCTGCTGTGGATCTCCACTGTCTGTGTTCAGGGGGTGCAGCAATGTGACAGTCTTGTTGAGGTCAGGATGTGTGGACAGTTAAATCAGTCCACAACCAGAAACCATGGATCACCAGAACCATCCGGAAACATAGACGTTTATAAAGCGTGACATGTGACGAATAAATGATTGTATCTGGCCCTAAAAAGACAGTATGCTGTGGCAGCCCTCCTGACCACAGTGACTGATGTTAAACACAGAAACATGATAACACAGCACAGACTGAGCGCTTCACAGCCCGGCAACAGAAACAGGCAGGTAGAAGAAAACATGGCTGCCAAAAGAGGAGCGACTGTGCCAACAGTGTGGAGGAGCTGCAGCAGAGACAAAGCAGCACTTCCTGACACAGTGCCCAAAATTTAAACCTGTCCAGGAACAGTTCTTCCCAAAATTCACTCACAGGCATCCACATTTAATTAACTCAGCCAATAGTAGACTAGTAATCATACAGGAGGAAATGAAAGACTGTTGCATCCTGCAGGAACATTTGTCTTTGTCTGCCACAACACGAGTCAGACTGACCTCGTCATAAATACAAGGACGTTAATTCTGCTGTTGGATTTTCATAAACTTTTCATGTTGTATATATACATATATGTATATGTGAAGATGCACTGTGATAGTTTTATGTTTTCACCTGTCTTTGTTTGTAGGATCTGTCCACCGTGACTCCGGTGACTCTACATGTGGATCCACATGGATTTTACCTCTACTGGACCGACCAGAACAAGGTTGAGCCCAACGACACTTACACAGTCTTGAAACACTTCCACACATAGATTTTGATAACGAACCAGATGATGAGGATCAGGTTTGGCTTCATGCTGAAAAAAAGCGAAATCATCAAGTCCAAATTTGACTCATCAGTGTTGCGATCTTAATTGTCGAGTCATCAAAAGTTGTTATATACCTTTTACCTTACCTGCTTAATTTATTCATTCCATATCTAAGCTATATCAGAATCATTTCAAATAAGACTCGGAGAAATTTTCTGTGAATAATTGTCTGTATTTACAATCTGCCAGTAACCTCCAGTCTCATGCCCCTCCTAGACCTTGTTTCACATATGTAACCAAAAACCCGCTCAAATAACCCTCTGACTTCAAGACAAGGGAGGCAGATGTGCTAAAACACTAACTCAATCCACGGTTTTGGAACTCATTTCTGCTCCAGTCTTTATATGTTAAAGGAAAACTTGCACAAAAACTAAATTCAGTTTTTTGTTTTTTTGTCTGTATTGTAAATGCTCTACCTCAATGCAAGGCTGAAGGAACAGGTGTTTCGAAGGACAGATGCAAAGAGCAAAAGCACACAGACAACATGTGATCATTGTTTGTTACAGACACACACACACACACGCTCTCCAGGTGGGATTAAATCCATAGCAGGAAACAGGATGAAGCATTTAGCTCCAGCTGACTCTGTGTGTGTGTTTTCTGTAGGAGACAGAGGTGTTGGACCTGACGTTCGTAAAAGATGTCAGAACGGGGAGAAGCACCAAAACACCCAAGGTACCATCACCACTTTCTTGTTGTATTCATCTTTTATAGTGCACCAATCTCTCTCATATATGTATGTTTTATACATTTAATAACATTTTCTACTTTTATTTATATTCTTCTACCGTCATATATTGTGTTTAATGCTTCACTGTTCTGTCACTATGGTTTATCTTCCTATTACTGGGATGTTCTTTGTGCATGTTGCTTGAAAAGAGCTCTATAAATAACAAGAATATGAATTACTGAGCGGCAGCCATATTAACACCAGTATCCTCCTGACTGGGGTTCTTGAATGATTTTGCATCATGATTACAGTGGCTGCTTCACAGACTTCTAATTATCTTCTGTCCTCTGTTCCGTTCACTGCCTCTGCATTTATTTTGTCATCCAGAAATTGATGTTCATATTGTGACGTTGTTGCTGTAGCAGCAGAAAAGCTCCTTGAAAGCTGGAGGATTCCTCTTTACTAAAGTCACTTTTAAAGAGAGAGAGCACTTTAGGGCTGCTATGATGTCCCTTCCTCATGCCACCTTTGCATTTTTACACAGAACCAATAACAATCATTTACTGTCCCTGTTCTCTGCTTGGTGGATAAGGAGCTCCTGGATCTCAGTTTTCCCAATTTGCAGACATTTTCATCTGCTTTTCCTCTTTTAAGAGTTAGCCACTAACAGCTACTTGTCACACACATGACATGTAGTCGAAATGTCACACCCATCCTGCTGGCTGTCTCCTTTATAAAGACATTGTTTTGACACTGTTACTACCTCCGTTGCCAGCTCACAAGCGAGACAACTCAGTCCCCGCATTCCACGATTGTACCTTTTATACAGAGCACAGAGGTGGCAAAATGGTGCAATATTCCTGACTCAAACAGACAGTGAAAAAGGGGCACCTAGACCCTCGGTGTGTTCAGACAGTCCTCTTAAATGTGGGCGGGGTTGTTGTCACTCACTGCTCCGTCCAGCACTCGCTGTATTTCCTCATCAGCGGTGACACAGATGGAAGTCTGCACCTGGTTTATCGTCCACAGAACGAGGCTGCACGCCCACATTTTCACAACAAAATAGAACAGGCTGCAGTGAGAGTCTCTCTCCATGGGATATTTAAAAATAGCAGCTTTGTGCATTTAGTCCTTCTCAGGCAAGCTCAGGGGTTTAGTGTTGCTGTAGCCCACAGGAAGTGAGGATTAGAATATATGACCTTTACATAATCCGCTCCAAATTAATCTATATTTTTAAAGTCATTACTAAAAGTGTGTGTCATATAAAATCTAAAGTGATGGTCAAAGTTGTCACAGTGAAATTTAAGGTGTGCTGATGGATTCACGTCATCAACTCATGCATTGAGTAACATTACAAGTTAACGTTCCACCTTAAAAGTTGCCGGCAGTCGGCCCAGTGAATGAAGTTATTTTTTTCTCTTTCATTTTATAGTTGTAGTTTACTGATGTATGAACAGAGGTTACATAAAACCAGAGTGAGCGTCCTCTACTGACCAATCAGACTGCAGGGTTTCTAGCTCCACCTTTTAGTACCAGATCTGTGTGCTAGGTACCCCAACAGAGGGGGGACCAAACATGGGGACGCTAAGGAACGCTTCAGAAGAAAAACAAGAGTCAGATTAGTTGAAATTAGGTCCACTGGTAAAAGGCATCCTCAGAATATGACTCACGTGTGACTAATTTAACACCACTTTGACTTCAGTGATGATATTTGGGACATTCACGACTTTATTTGGATCATATTACACATTATTGGATCGGAGGTGTGTGAGATTGTTTTGTACATCATGACTAAATACATGTTGTGTGTTGAACATGATGCATAGTGCAGGGTCAATCCTACGTGCGCTCCAAAACCCAACACATTGGCAGTTTGCAGGGGATCAGCAGATTTTCCACATGAAATGGCATGAGCCGCTCGTGCCAACTTAAACTGACACCTCCTTCAGCCAAGAAGCAAAACACCACGTGTACCATGAGGATGGTAAACAAGTATTTAGCACATATCTTTTAGATGCCTCGACTTGACTGAGTTCAAACGAGGAGAAAGCTTCATAGATCCTAATAAACAGTAGTATGATTATTTATTTTCATTTATTTTTTGTTGAACCACCTGATAGTTAACTGATTTTTTAAAATAAATCAACAAGAGGCATTACCACAGCTTCAACCAGACTTGCCACAACTGCTTAATGGCGGGAGGACAGAGAACAGGAGGACTTATAGTGACTGATAAATTTCACTCAGTATTGTGATGTCAGGAATATTATTTAAATAGTGATGCTGCTGTTGTAAAAATAACTGTAGCTGCTCTGAAACAACATTTAGTTATATTTGACATATTCAGTAATCTAGTTCTGAATTTATTCCTTTGTAAATTAATATATTTTTCTAAAAAGCATTTATTTAGAAATGAAAAGGAACCGATTATCGATAAGAGCAGCAGTATCAATAAAATCTTCCCCGGTCAGGAGATGGTCCTTCAGCGCTGCGTCTGACCTGTTTAAGGACGGTAGGAGGGTGATCTGGTGGGGGTGTTGGGCGGTTGGGGATCAGACTCCTTCCTCTGAAAGTGAAAGACGTCCACACACCAGCAACAAGGCGTGTTCGGCTCTCTCGTTAGCGTGCTGCTCGTGGTGCTGCGCTTGTTTCTCTTCTTCGTCTTTGTGTTTATTGGTGACTTGTAAACCAACTTTAAAAGGTGCATACTGCTGCCCACTGTGTCCAGGTGTGTAGGTGCGGCAGTTTCGCTTCATCATATCAGCGCTGTTTGTCAGCTTCATCATCGGAATAATACATGATAATATAAATGTCTCATTATCAGCCAAATTTATCGTGCACCCATGATAGTTTCTCATGTTCCACCTGCACCCAGTTGAAGCAGTTTTCCACACCTTCTCTTCGACATATCATCCGTCTCCTCTGTGCGTCTCCAGCACGGATCCATTTCAGCCTACAGCTTTTTGATTCGGTGTCGTCCAACAGGAGGCCAAGCTGCGGGAGCTGCTGGATGTGGGAAACCTGGTTGGCCGTCTCGAGAACCGCATGGTTACCGTGGTTACGGCATCAGACCTTGTGAACGTGAACCAGCTTAACTTCATCGCTTCACAGGAGGACGAAGCTAAGGTACCGAACTCAGGACCGATGATGGTGATGATAATGATAATGATGATGATAATGGTGATGATGGTGATGATGATGATGATGATGATGATGTAGAAGTGTCTGGTTTCTGCAGATGTGGTGTGAGGAAGTATTTTCTCTGGCTTCCAACCTGCTGAGCCACAATCTGAACAGAGACCACAGTCTGTTGAAAGCGTGAGTACACACACACACACACACACACACACACACACACACACACACACACACACACACCTAAAGCCTGATATATCTTCTCCCTCTGTGCCGTAGAGCTCCACTGTTGTCATAAAAACACATCATTGAGCAACACTGTTGCGCTGGGTGATATGTTTCCTTTATTACCATGAACACACACACTGTAGTTCATTCACACTCACCGTCCTGCTGACACAAATACTCATGTAGATTAAATGTGTGTTAATCCACATCTGAAAATAATCCCCAGCAAATGCACAATTTATGACGTTTGTTGAAAACCACAGCGCCCAGCTGTTTCAAACATTTTTAAAGTTTTATATTTTCAGAAGCAACAAAGAGGCTTGGACTAACATGTTGTTGGTTGTGATCTCTTCCTGGGATTTGTTATGAATAATTAAAAATACATTAAAATAAAATATGAAATACTCAGGTTGTAGATGCTTTGACTGATATGTGACCCAGCATATGATGACCTGAGTATTGGTATTTCTGTAACTGTCACGTTGCTTGTTAAAACTTTCTTTAATGTGCTGCTGCCTGTTTTGGATGGACGCTCTTGTGAAGGAGATTTTTAATCTCAATGAGGCCTTTCTTTGTTAAATAAATTAAATAAATACACCTAAATTAGCATAATACAACCTAGTCGTCAGAAAAGAATGTTGGCATTGTAGGATTTTTGCAAACCACGGATACGTTTGTGTGTTGAAACTTTACATTTCAGCAAGGCTGTGGTAACATTTGGTTCAGTTTAGGCCAGGGGTCGGCAACCTTTACTATCAGAGGAGCCATTTTTGGACAAAAAAACCCATAAGAAACTAGAATTACCGCCTCATGGTTGTATGACTCCGCCCACCAGTGCAGTGTCTCTGACAGTCTCCATCCATGTCAGTGAAAACATGGATGCTTCACACACAGAAGATCTATACAATCAGCACAGTTTCAAGATTAGTCACCAATTCAGTATCTGACCAAATGTCTCCCCTTCTGTTCCTGACATGATGATGTCACAGTCAAGCTGACCTTTGACCTTTTGACCTTCATTATTTTATCCTGTTAGACATTTGTCATAATCAGCATATGAATTATTGAGTTATGGACAAAAATACATTTTGTGAGGTCACACTGACCTTTGACCTTCAATCACAAAATTCTAATCCGTCTGTTCTTTAATACAAGTGGACGTTGTGTCAAATTTAAATAAATTCTATTCAGGTATTCTTGAGATATCATGTTCACAAGAATGACACAGATGGTCACAGTGACCTTGACCTTTGCTCATTGTTGACTGAAGTGAACGTCTGTGCCTAGTTTGAAGAAATTCCCTCAAGCATTCTTGAGGTATCACGTTCACGAGAATGAGACAGACAAGGTCACAGTGACTTATGTCTACCAAAATCTAATCAATTCATCTCTGAGTCCAGCTGGACATTTGTGCCAAATTTGAAGAAATTCCTTTGAGGCGTTCATAAGATGAGTTGCTTTCACAAGGATGGGACGGACAAACCAAAAACATAATGCAGCTACGAATTTTCTCATTCGACCAATAGTTGTCATTTAGGGCCATTAGTTGATTAGTCACCTGCATGTTTCCGATATAAATTAATTATTAAATTCTATATTTTTACTGTGCAGCATTGGTGGTGAAAGCAAACGCAGCTGTCCTTGCACTGTTAAAGTGTCTGTTTTTCTCTGAGACTTTTCCTTTGTTGGATTAGTAATCTATGACTAGGCTAGCTAGGGAGATTCAAGACGAGCCCCGGCTGTGAGGCTGGGCAAGATGTAGAGAAAAAGGTTGACCCACATTTTAGTTGTATTCAATGTTTTTGCAACAAGTACAACAAGAGCAACAAGACAAGACCTCTAAACTGTCAAGTTATAGATACATTTGCTAACACTCCGGCTCAACCCTGAGCAACGTATCTTGTCTTGCAGTCTCGTGTGGTCAGGCACAAACTGGCCTGACCTTGCTAACGGAGTAACTGAGCTCATGCCGGGACGCCTTCCCCTATTTTCAAACTCTTGTACTCTTTTCACACTTTAAGAGTACTAACTTAACTCATGTGGGGACCTCTGTCCCTGTCTCTTAGTCTTCTAAACCCTAGTTCCAGGGGTCGTGTTAACCGGATATTCTCGGTCATTGACCATTTTTTACAACAGTGACCGGAAAATCTGAAGGCCGTCGGTCATTTTGACCGGTTGCAATTACCACCCCTGCCCACTTGGCTGCGGAGTTTTCAGTCAGTGGTTTAAGTGGCTGCCGTTTTCACACTGCAGAGAAAAAGTCATTCATCTGCTTCATGTAGCTTTGTTGACATAACACCCTGGACACACTGGACGTGGAACCGAAGCACAGTGCCCAGCAGCAGAGGCAGTTTTCAGTTGGCGCCCATGTTAACCTATCTGACTGTCCACACAGGCCACTGAGCAGAGCAGAGTGCCCACGGAGTAGAGGCAGCGCTTCAGTTCGGCGTCTGGTCTATTTTTCACAAGAGAATCAGGCCAATTTTCAAAATAAAATAACAACAGCACGCACTGAGGAACGTGAAGAGAAAATACCGTGTTTATAATTTAAAATAACACAACAGTGCATAACCGAACACATTTTTCAATACCATAATCACTTCATTCCAATTTTAATTTTCTGTCACCGAGCCTACAGACATAACTACATAACGCCCTGGACACACCGGACGTGTTAGTGCCATCCGGTGTGTCCAGGGCGAAGCCTAATGGCACGGGTGTGTGGATGTCTGTTCATCTTTTCGTTATGTCCTTATTAATGCACACTTTATAACTTGCTTGTTGGATTTATTAAAAGCGAACGAATGAAAACTAAATATCTTTATTATCATTTAAAAACAAAAATTAAAATGACCGGTAAAAATAGATTATGACCGGATTTTTATGACCCTGTCAGTCAAAATGACTGGCGACGAAAAAGTCTAGCACAACGTCTGCCTAGTTCCCAGTAAAGCAGTGCATATGCATATGTTAAAATCAAATTTGCAAGTTCCCCATGTCTCTTAATCAATTTACAATTAACTTAAAGGTTCTTTTTGGAGGATTTCAGACATCAGCCACTGCATCTTGACAAACTCTGGCGAGGTCACATAAAGAATTAAATATCAAAAGGTCTCCACAGTAAACTAGATGTCGTTTCCAGGGCCCTCTCTGCCGACAAGGCCAATTATGTTGTAGCATAAATGAGATTTAGAATAAAAGAGGCTCAGACATAGAGTTGCACATTTGAGGGTCTTTTAATCCTTAGAATTGGTACATCATTCACATTCACAAATACGTGACACTTATACAAACTTTCCCATACACACATTCAAGGTGCTTCCCGTCACTGAAGCTGCTGTTTCCTGTTATTTAGATCGCCAGTTCTCGGAACGTTTGCTTCACCTTACATACCCAAATTTGGTCAGTCATGTCAATTCATCTAAACCACTCAGGGGGGAAGATTGAAGGAGAATCACTGAAGTCTGTGGTCATGATAATAATTCTCATATCCACTCTTTGTTCCAGGTACGTCAGGTTAACCCTCCAGCCGAACGCAGAGGGGAGAATCCCCGTCAAGAAGTGAGTTCCTGATTATTATTACCTTCCTAATCTTTAATCATGTTAACTTCGAGGCACGTGTAAAGGTAGGTGGTGTAGAGGATGTGGAGAAAATAGCCCGCCGAAATCTGTAGAGACGCGTACAAACTCAAACTTTGCTCTTTCCTGTCCCTTGCTTCCAAAAATAAACTTAATTCCATGTGCACTTGGGAAAGCAAAAACAGGGACAGGATTCATGAAGGTGCTTAATTCAGCACTGACCTGGTAATCAACCACTGCCGGAGCATGAGATGGGATAATACAGCTACGAAGGAAAGCTGTACTTTAGAACCAAAGCAGTATAATTAAGGTCAGTTGATATATCTTGGAAGTCAAAGGAGGAGGAGTTGAAAGTGATGTTTAGGGGGTTTTAGCAAGGTAAAGAAAGTTGAATTGGGTAGGAAGACGTTTGGGGGAGTTAGAGGAGTAACTTTGGGGTAGTTAATTAGAGGGAGGAGATATTTTAAGAAGTCAAACTGCACGTTCCAGCTTGGTGACATGTTGTGGTTAAGAGTGAGGTGATAATGTTGTGATGTCATTGTCTTTTGCAGCATCGTTCGACTGTTTTCATCAGACAGAAAGAGAGTGGAGAACGCCCTGGAGAGCTGCAAACTGCCCTACGGACGGGTAAATACTTTGAATCTTAATATCAGTGGCAGTAGATAAACATGAGGATTTATAGCTTATATATGCCATGGATACATGCTTTGAAAAGCTGTTGCCTTCCCTTTGGATAACTACATCACACACTTCTTCTATCTCCGTTTTCTTTTTCCCGTTGAGGCTTTTATCTGATGCTTTTTGTCCAGAGTGACTTGCAGTGCACGGAGAGGTGGAACGAGCTCAAATATCTGGGTCATCAAGTTTTGAAGCAACCAGTGAAAAAGCAGAAAAGTCAGATTCCCTGCTCACACTGAATCTCACATTTAATATTCCTGTGAGCACAGAAAGCTTTTTAATGGAGAAGAGTTGGGAAATACATCAAAGATGGAGAGAAATGTTTGATTATTTTTTAAGGTTTAAAAAACTTTTTTTTTTTCCTTTTACAGCAATAGGAAGAGGATAAAGCGCAAGGAGACGCTTGAAGCTGACACAATGTCTCCGACGCTGGCAGTTCCAGTTCTTGCTAATTAAAAAACGTGTGGTTATGTTAATGTCCGTGTCCTATATATCTGACAGGGTGACAGCATCAAGCTGGAAGACTTTACACTTGAAATGTACAGGAGCTTTTTGGACAGCCTGTGTCCTCGTCCTGAGCTTGGCAACATCTTCAAACTGCAGTGAGTATTTAGAAAATCTCCTGATTAACAGCTGCAGTCACTGACCTGTGATCAGCTCAAAGACTTGTTAATGTTAAACAAGCTACTCTGCTTTTTAAGTGCGTTGTTTTTTGCTTCAGGCCACCGTCTTTGATATGGGAAGGATGATGAATAATGATTCATCTTCTGTCCCACTTGTACACACAGAGAGAGATTAAAGAGACAGGCTTCAACTCTGGAGTGTTAATCACAGTACTGACTATTATTATGTTCAGGAAATTATTGGCATTAATACATTTTCTATTGATCTGTCTATAAAATGTTAGAAAATGCAGACAAATAGCCGTCACAAGTTCACAAGGGATTTCTTGAAGGTGGAGAGTGGTGGAGTATCTGATATATTTAGGGAGTGAGATACAGAGAGTGGGAGCAGCAACAGAGAAAGCCCTGTCCCCCCAGGTGTGGTGGTTAGTCCTGGTTGGGGAGTACAGGAGGTTTGCATCAGCAGACCTGAGAGTGCGAGAGGGAATGTGCAGGTGGAGGAGCTCAGACAGGTAGGTGGGATCCAGGTTGTGGAGAGCTTTTTTGAAGTGGATACGCTGGGGGATGGGGAGCCAGTGGAGGTTATGAAGGACGGGGGTGATGTGGTCATGGGAGTGTGTGAGAAGACGAGCAGCAGAATTCTGGATATATTGTAGTGTCTTGAGTGTTTTGGATGATAAACCATAGAGGTGGCTAGTGCAGTAGTTCTGTCTGGAAGTGATGAATGCGTGGATGAGAGTCTGTGCAGCTGAAAAGGTGAGGGATGGACGGAGGCGGGCGATGTTCCTGAGATGGAAGAGGACTGTTTTGGTGATGTGTTTGATGTGTTGGTAAAAGGAGAAGGTTAAATCGAAGATGGGACCAAGGTGACAGACATGGTGGAAGGAGAGCACAGTGGAGCCATCAATGGAGAGGGAGAAGTTATGGGTGGATTTGATGAGGTGATTTGGGGCCGATGATGATGACTTCTGATTTGTCACAGTTAAGTTGGAGGAAGTTGGTTTGCAGCCAGGATTTTATTTCAGTGATGCAGTTGGTGAGGGCAGAGTGAGTGGCAGGAGTGATGGCTTTGGTGGAGATGTGGAGCTGAAGTCCATGACGGTGGATTATTTGACCGAGGGGGAGAAGTGGGCCAAGAGCTGAACCTTGGGGAACTCCTTGGCAGAGGGGAGCGGGGGGGGGGGGGGTTTGCAGTTGTTTATGCTGATGAACTGATATCTGTCAGAGAGGCAGGATTTGAGCCAGGAGGGTGCAGTGCCGGTGATGTTGAGAGCGGTTTCAAGGCAGGAGAGAAGGATGGAGTGGTTGATGGTGATCAGATGCTGCGCTCAGGTCAAGACGGATGAGGATAACTGTTGTCTGAACAACAGTTAAAAAATACAGTCACTTGATGCTGATGTGAGATAAAAATGACCAAAAAAAGTTGCAAATGATACAAATAATTGGAGGGTAATTAAAAAGGTCTATTAATTTACCAGAAAATAGATATCAGCTGTGGAAATGTTTTTTTCTACATAACTTCTACTAATCTGTTTATGTGTAGTTTAATTAAAGGAGGCAGAGCTGATGTGAAAATAACCTGTGAACATACTGCAGCTGCACTGGACCTGATATATAATTCACTACTTTTAAAGTAAGATGAGTAAGATGATGTTTTGAGGATCTGTAGACATGCTGTAACCTCCGCCCCGACCCCGCTCTGTCCTGCAGAGGATGGGCTGACGGCACGCTGTCAGTCGATCAGATGACAGAGTTCGTCAACAACAAGCAGAGAGACCCGAGGCTGAACGAAATCCTCTACCCGCCCCTCCGTCCTGCACAGACACACGCTCTGATGGAGAGGTACCAGCATGACAAGGAACAGCTGAAGCAAGGTACACACACACACACACACACACACACACAGTCTTGTATTTGCTATTTTTCCTCTGTGTTCCAAAATAGCTTAAGATGCCGTTAGCAGGTCAGCTGTGTTTGTTCACCACATGTACTTTTATACATGCATTGATACCAAAATACTCCTCTAACCCTCCCACACACCCACAGAGTGGGAAACTGCTAAAATAAGCTCTTGAGACGCTCACATTTGTGTTGGATCCTGCCAGAAGTAAATTTGGCACCAACTTGGAATCCAGCACCGCCTCCCTGAGGCGCCCCCCAGAAAATTCGATTACAATGTTGAAGTAGGAAAGGAAGAGCACATTGATATACATTTCATTTTCATTTTTGCGTAACTGCTTATCCTGTTGGGGTACCGGGGGGCTGGAGCCTATCCCAGATGACTATCAGAAGACTGACACATAGGCTGCTGTCAGCCCTAGAGTTGTCTCCTTTGGTCTGAATCAGGGACTCATGTTGTTCCAAAGTTGTATATTTGCCTAGAGTTGGTTCGTGTTCTCACGGCAGCATTTACAAGAGGACCAGATCAAATGCCTTGTGTGAGAAAGCTGCTCTTGATTGGTCAGAATTTCCATGTGGGAAAAATCCAGGAAGTAAAGCAAACGTTGAAGAAGAGTACACTTGCAAGATAAAGACCATCTCTTCAAGAAGGTCTCGGTCCGATTGTTTTGATGCGCACCCGAGTGCGATTGCCCAAACTGAGGGGGCAAACGAACTTGAGTTCAATGGAACTGAACCCAACAGGGCAGTTATGAAAGCACCCAAAGAGACAGACAACCATTCACACTCACATTCACGGGGAGGAAGCTGGAGCACCTGGAGGAAACCCACGCTGACACAGGGAGAACATGCAGACTCCACACAGAGGGCCCCCCCACCCTGGGGTTTGAATCAGGAACGTTCTTGCCGTGGCGTGACAGTGCTTATTGATTGAAAGGAACAAAATATTTTTCCTGGAACATACCTTCTAAAGTTTTGGGACGACTCATTGGTACCTGAAGAACCCATTTTCATTCCAATATCTTGAGGTGAGAATTCAAGTGACCTCTTGGAAAATGGTCATGCCTGTTGCTCCCTTGCACAATTTCGACATACTTTGAAGCATTGTTTAGCCCCCTTTCTGAAGAGACTTGGAGACTTGGTTGGTTTGCTTTGTTTAACAGGACACCACAACCTTCACACGAACTTTGAGCACCACAGCATCTGAATGAGAGTGATGTTGGCCATGGAGGGGCAGCAATGGTATCAGGGTGGTCATGGCCCCATGTCCACATCAAAAGTCAATATCCTAATGTTTTGTTTTTTTGTGCGTGTGTGTGTGTGTGTGTGTGTGTGTGTGTTGTAGGCATCATCTCTGTCCAGGCGTTCTCCAGTTATTTGTCCAGTGATGAGAACGGAGTCATCCCTCCAGAGAAACTGGATCAGTCCGAAGACATGAGCTTCCCCCTGTCTCACTACATCATCAACTCATCACACAATACATACCTGACAGGTACACACACACACACACACACACACACACACACACTACACCTTCCACCTGCAGTGGATCCATTACTTTGCATTAAGACATTGATGTATTCAGTGTCTGTCAGGAAACAAAACAACTTCACAGAACTTTACAGCAGTGTGAGGATGGTTGTCGACATCCGTCCAATAAAATTAACTGTGTTCAAACTGCAGTCAGAGCTGATTCTGGTGCTTTGCCATTTTCTCATTTGGTTTGTTTCATTTGTTTAGAAGTTTTTATTTGTCGTGACTCTGGCACATCCAAAATCTCTGAACAAGATGACAGTTTGAACAAAGCAGAGCGTCGGGGGAACATTAAGCTCAACTCTGTGAGCCGTTACAGTTCTTCAAAGTGACGCTGAACTCAACGACACCTCAGAAAATCACCTCCATTAAACACCTGCTGTGCATTTGTGGCAGGAAGAAGAAGACTTTAGAAGCAGAGCTGGGCCTAGAGAGTGAGGTCTGGGTTGTGTTCTGGGGACTCATTTATAAAACAATGCGTGTATCTGTACTAAAAATGTACGTACGACAATATCTACAATCAGGCTTCTGCCTCACCATCTGTGTCGCCAATTTCCCGTCTACGTATGCAGTGTTTATAAATGAGACCCCAGGTCTTAGGAAGGCGGGCAGTCACGTGTCTAAAGAATGTAAAATCAGACCATTAGGTTTGGGGCGTTAGGTTTGGTCTATGTCCTGCTTTTTGCTTGTAAATCTTGTTTAAATACGCCACGTACACAAAGTGCATCACAGCTCTCCCACTTTGATAAGAACAGGAAAACCTCATGTTGTGATTTTGCCCTAGAGTACACAATCTTTACAGTCCTTTTATGACGCTCTGCAGTGTGAAAGTGTTAATTATCACTGATAGTGTAGAAGAGAAGTAGCTTTGAAGCTGAATCCGTCATAATGTCTGATTTCTTTTCCTGTGCGTGTGTTTCAGCGGGCCAGCTGGCAGGAAGCTCCTCGGTGGAGATGTACAGGCAGGTTCTCCTGGCCGGATGCCGCTGTGTGGAATTAGATGTCTGGAAAGGACGAACTGCTGAGGAGGAACCCGTCATCACACACGGGTTCACCATGACATCGGAAATCCCTTTTAAGGTGTGTGTGCACAGCGTGGTATCACAAGTCTCTGAAGCTTCCTGTTGATGGTAGCTTCACATAATGAACCAGGTTAAACAAATCACTGTCGATTCAACATGTTCACTGGACTTTTTATGTTTAATGTCTCACGTTGTTGAAAGTAACTTAGTACATTTACCGAAGTACTGAGGTACTTTACTTGAGTATTTACATATCATGCTAGTTGATGCTTCCCTTTACTTCAGTTCAAACTTTTTACTGCACTTCATACATTTGAAAACTACAGTGACTTTGCAGATGATTTCAGACAAGAAAAAACATAGTGAGCATGTTAAATACATTGATCAAGATTAAGCTTCATGGATTCCAAACCTTTTTGCTTTGTGACCTCGCACAACAAAGCAGTGTAAATGTCATGTTAAAGATGTCCAGCAGTTGTCAACAGTTTCACCAAAGAGTCTACATCACACCTGTCATTAGGGTGACCGGACAGTCCCGAATCCTGAATCCTGAATCCTGAATCCTGCTCTAATTGTCCTGAAAATGACACTAGAGCAGAGTCTGGAGTAGTTATTGCCTGATAAAACATTAAAAACAGATCATGGTGGTTTAGTCGTCATGCAGCTCCTGCCGGCTGCACATTGGCTGCAGCAGTTCCTACATGAATTATGGGTGTTGTAGTTTTTAAACTGTGTACGGCAGTGGCGATGAAGTAGATGCAGAGAGCGCAAGTTGCAGCCGCGAGGACAGGGAAAGTGCAGGCAGCCACGAGAAGGAGTGATTTGCACGTTGCAGTGCAGCCTCTTGTTCTAACTGTTCAAAACTGTTCTACAAACTGATACGGCTGTAACGAATGTACCTGGCGTCTTTATTTTGTTAACTTTTATTAGGGCCCGAGCAGGAGACCTGCGAGGTCCCTATTGTTTTTCTCCTGATTATTTATATATATATATATATTTTTTTTTTTTTCTTCCGCCCATATGATCGCATTTTTCACTGCCTGAACATACCCCAAAACTCACCAAACTTGGAATATAAGTCACACCTCGCAAAAATTTTTATAATCTATTGTTGTCCTGAATTTCCACTACTAGCTGGCGCTATTATTAAGGAAAGTGCGTTTTGGCTCATAACTCCCATACACTTTGTTGCACATTCAAAAACCTTATATCCACGCGTTCAATGAATTGTGCTGAATCTTGTGGTATATGTCGCAAACCTACTTTTTCAAACTCCTACCAGGCAATTTCACCGATTGGCATGAAACTTTGCACACAGCATCTGTGGACCCTCCTGACAAAAAGTTATTAAAAGAATTTCGATATTCCAAAGAATACTCAAGTTATTAAATAACAACTTCCTGCAGATTTCGTTCTAAACAGGAAGTGCTGCGTATCTCCACATTGGTGGGTCCGAATGACATGAAACTCAGTTTACTACTTCCCCATGAGCCCCTGAGGCTCTGTGCAAAATTTCGGGTGATGACCACAAGGTGGCGCTCTTTAAATTGAAGTATTTTATATCTCAACATCGGTTGGGCGGATTAACACGAAACTTGGTATAATTATTGTCAATGCCCTCTTCAGGATATCTGACAAAAGACTTACCGATCCACCACTAGGTGGCGCTCTGGTGGAGGTAATTTAATATTTGGCACTGTGCCAACACCATAACACTCATAGAAATAAAATTGATAGGGGTGGTATTGACTGGCCCCTGTAACTCACAGACCAAAAATGACCAGCAGGTGGCGCTATTTTCAATGCAAAAGCGTTTTTGGCTAATAACTCCCACATAATATGTCGCACATTGTTAAACCTTCTATTTACTTGTTCTCTGAATTCTGTTGAATTGTGTGGTGTAAGCCACGCCCACTTTCACGCTAACTTTCCATTCGCTAAATTGCGACAAATGAAAAACATACTTTTTCGAACTCCTCCTAGGCGATTTGACCGATTTGCACCAAACTTTGCATGAAGCATCTGTCAACCCTCCTGACAAAAAGTTATTAAAAGAATTTTGATCGTCCAAAAAACGGCCAAAATATAAAACAACAAATTCCTGCACACTGTGTTCAAAACAGACAGTCTTTCATATCTTGACCAAATACAGTCGGATTACCACAACACTTTTGCTAATTGTGTTCCATGGCCCGATGAGGGTTTGTGCAAAATTCGGTGCAAATCGGCCAATAGGTGGCGCTCTGGTGGCAGTCTAATTAGTGTGAATGGAAGTAAATTGGAAAATCTTCAAATCCTCTTCAAAACTCATCGACTTTCAACCTCTTCTTGTCCCTCATACTTTGAGCTAGAGACACCATGTCAACTTTCAAAGAGTCAAAAGACCTTGAACTATTGGGCATGTATTCAGCTTCTACTTTTTGGAAAAATACATACATGGGTTGGGTGCCTACCTGTATACTGGAAATGTAAGTAAGAGATAACGCTTATTTTTTAATTTATTACAGCTGACAAGACATCTGGGTGCACGCCCCCCGATGGCAGCATGCCCCGACTCGTTTGGACTGCGAGGGCCCGTTCATCGCTGCTTGCAGCTTTAATCTTTTATTGAGTTTAAAGGACAAGTGCACTTACACTGATCACTTCCATAAAATAAAACAAGAAAAGAGGATAAGATTGAAAAATCTGTTAAAATTAAATTAGGTAGCTGATCACAGATGTTTCTGTGTGTTTTTACATCTATTGTTGCTTTAATTTGCAGCTATGATTTTAATGAAGCTGACATGTCATGACAGTCAAGCGCTTTACAACAAGACAATAAAATATTAAAAAAGCAAATCAAACAAAACAGAACAAACTAACGAAAAAAAGATGATTAAAAGTCAAAAGAATAAAAAGAAAGTAAACAAATAAAATAGGATGAAAATAAACATGGGAGATAAAATAAGGTAAAAACCTGTGGTTGACACTGAAAAATCAAGACTGTAACATTTCTCCACTTTAAAAAGCCAGATTAAAAAGACAGGTCTTCTTTAAAAACAGAAAGCACCCTCACCAGTTCTTTAATGGGACACCTTTCACATGATCATACCAGAATCAGATTTATCATCAAGTAGGTTTTCATTTACAAGGAATTTGCTTTGGTGCAAACATCAAACAAACAGTAAACATAATAAGAGGAACAGAACAGAAAATGATGCAAAGTACTCAGACATAAATATGTAGAATATAGCTGTTTCAGAATAAGAGAGCTGTGCAGTTTTGTGCCGGATGTGCAGGAATATTAATCACAAGGATGTGCAAAAACTCTGTCACACAAAGAGGTCAAATTATCCAATATATTCCCAAACAAAGCACAAATAATGAAGACAGATTTGTGAAGTAGAACTTTGTCTCTTTGACCCTTTGAAGGGACCTTGACTCCCAGGTTGGGAAGTGCTCGGAGCGGCTGCTCAAAAAGCCGGAGCACTCTAAAAAGAAAGATGCTGGGTGCTTTCTCTCTGTGCTTCTTTCCTCACTGGGAACAACAGAAGAAAGACACTGGCACTCAAAGAAAATGCTTTATGGACACTGAGCTTTACTTTTTCTTGGTGTTTCTTTGATTTTCCAGGAAGTGATTGAAGCTATTGCAGAGTGCGCGTTCAAGACGTCACCTTTCCCCGTCATCCTGTCCTTCGAAAACCACGTGGACTCGTGAGACTCTCTGTCACTTTTTATTTGATTTATTAAGTGATTGATCTGTATGGATGGATTATAATGTAGGATGTCTATCTATCTATCTATCTATCTATCTATCTATCTATGTCAGTTTGAAGCAGCAGGCTAAAATGGCTGAATATTGTCGATCTATTTTCGGAGAGGCGCTGTTGATTGACCCTCTGGACAAATACCCTGTAAGTGATACACACACACAAACACACACAGGAGAGATGTCACATTAAATACTTAATATCTGCCGTGTTCTCAGTTAAATACAGCAGATGATTTTATTGTCATCTCCACTGTGTGTGATTGCAGCTGGAGTCCGGCGTCCCCCTGCCCAGTCCTCAGGAGCTGATGGGCAAAATTCTCATCAAGAACAAGAAATCCCACAAACCCTCCAACAACACAGACACCAAAAGACTGACTGACCAACCTGCCAATCAGAGCAACGAACCGGTGTCTCCTAGCAACAACACAGGAGGTAAGACACAAAGACAAAAGGACTTCTTTTTTTTCCGGCTTGTTAATCCACGTGAAAATGTGCTCAGCTGTGACACACTGACAGTCTTTGTATCAAAACACAAAACAGGATATCTCTAATGCCTGGTGGTTTTTCAGGATACAAGAATATTAACTCTCAGGCTGCAGAATATTAACACCAAAGAGTATTCAGGCTTTTATTTAGCAGCGGTAAATGTGAAGTTTTTTTGTGTGTGTGTGTGTGTGGAAACTGGTTTCACATGCAGGAGACGTATGTCCTCACAAACATGAGTCACCACCAGATTAGCTTCAGTTTGAAAAGGTACAATGATGGAGCTGCAGCTTCAGTGCTGCCGCTGCTGATTGGTTTATAGAGATGCCGATACAGTCAGGTTTATTTTTACATATTTATCAAACAAATCAAAGGAGAAGAAGATGAGAAGGGTTTAGAGAAAGGGGGCAGAATGTGACAAATGGTATGCAAAAGTTTGGGCGCCTCTAGTCAAAATTTACTGTGGATAGTTAAGTGAGTAGAAGATGAACTGATCTCCAAAAGGCATGAAGTTAAAGATGGAACATACTTTTCAGCATTTTCAGCAAGATCGGTGTTTAATTTTTGTTTTGTACAATTTTAGAGTGAAAAAGAATAAAAGGAGCACCGTGCAAAAGTTTGGGCACCCCAAGACATTTGAGCTCTCAGACAAGACAGACCTTAATGAGCTTGTTAGGGCTCTGGCTTGTTCACAGTCATCGTTAGGAAAGGCCAGGTGATGCAAATTTCAAAGCTTTATAAATACTCTGACTCCTGAAAGCTTGTCCCAACAATCAGCTGTCATTAAGAAATGGCAGTTAACAGGAACTGTGGAGGTCAAGTTGGAAACTTTGTGAGAGAGCTGCTCGTAGGATTGTTAGAAAGGCAAATCAAAATACCTGCAGTAAGATTTTTCAGACTCTGGAGTGGTGGTGCACTGTTCTACTGTGCAGACACACCTGGACAAATATGAGCTTCATGGAAGAGTCATCAGAAGAAAACCTTTCCTGTGTCCTCACCACAACATTCAGCGTCATATGTTTGCAAAGGAACATCTGAACAAGCCTGATGCTTTCTGGAAACAAGTCCTGTGGACTGATGAAGGTAAAACAGAACTCTCTGGACACAATGAGCAAAGGTATGTTTGGAGAACAAACTGTTAAACACAGGGGTGGATGGATGATGCTTTGGGCTTGTGTTGCAGCCAGTGGCACGGGGAACATTTCACAGGTAGAGGGAAGAATGGATTAATTCTGGGAGCAAACATCACAGCATCTGTAAAAAAGCTGCAGATGAAGAGAGGATTGCTTCTACAACAGGACATTGATCCTAAACATACCTCCAAATCCACAATGGACGACCTCAAGAGGAGCCAGCTGAAGGTTTGGCCACGCCCCTCACAGTCCCCCGACCTAAATGTCATTAAACATCTGCGGATAGAGCTCAAAGAGCAGAGCATGAAGACGGCCCAAGAATCTCACATAGCTTGAAGCCTTTTGCAGGAAGAATGGGTGAAAATCCTCCAAACAAGAACTGAGAGACTCTGAGCTGGATACAAAGTGTTTAGAGGCTGTGATACTTGCCAAAGGGGGCGCTACTGAGCACTGAGCATGCAGGGTGCCCAAACTTTTGCTTTAGGCCCTTTTTCTTTTTTGTTATTTTGAAACTGTAAAAGATTACAATTAAAAAGTAACTAAAAGTAAAGTTTTATCTATAACTTCATGCCTTTTGGAGATCAGCTCATCTTCTACTTAACTACTCGTAGTAAACAACATTTTGCTCAGGGCTGCCCAGACTTGTGCAGCCACTGTGTTACAAGTTTATTGAAAAGACTTTGGAAGAACGTGAGACGTGTGGTAGTTACAGAGTTTATCTGACTGTAGCTTACAAAAAAACATGTTTTTAATTGAAGTTAAAACATTAAAATCACCAGAAGTTGAATCATCTGGTTATCACACAAACTTCTTTTAATATTTCCTGCATTCAGATTCTCCTCTGTTGGAGGACATTATTCAGCCATAATTTCCTTCATGACTTTGGCCAAAGATACAAATCTGCTCCTCCTGCTCACTCTGGTGTCTTTGATATTTTTTCTTGTGCGGCCCTCTGCTCCTCATCAGGGATGTCTCAGTAATGAGCAGGACATCCCAGAAGAGGCCAGAAGCTCAGAACAGCAATTAAACAGCGGTGCAGGGGGAAATTATGGAGCCTTATTGACACGTCTGATGTGCAAATTCTGAAAACAGGTCTGGGACTGAGAGCCCAGCCGTACACAAAGAGCAGACTAGTAGCCGTGCTGAAGTACATACTCATACAGCGGCCGTGATCCTTCAGTCAGTGGATGCTCGAGTGGGCTGAATAATCAGCCGCAGAGTTAAAGCAGTGGGTTGTTTACAAAACGATAGGCAGCTGTTGGTTTATATTGTGATGTTTTTATGTTTTCTACATGAAATGGCAGCACAGATTTAAATTTGCTGTGTATCATTCAGACAGTGAGCATAAGTGTCTTGTAATGTAATGTATGCCAAACACACGTCTCTACAGAGGACACCTCTGGAGACCAAGTAAATATTGAACCATTTATTTACCATGTTGCTGCATAGTGTTCTAATGATGTAAAAGATCAGCTGTTTACTTGCACCTAAATTTTTCCCATGGATTGTTTTTTCTAACCCCAGTTCAGGACTTGTCACCAGCTCTAGAGTTTACTCTCATTAAATACGTAGAAATCTGACAGCCATTCTGTGGGCCTTCCTCAGGGGCCGCACACATGCTGTGTCTTTAACTGCCAGGAAAAATGCGAGGTCAGGCTCTGGGCGCTCCTCTTCTGTAGCAGCTTTTAGGAGCATGGCGGCAGGTTGCTAGTTGAGGTTGTTAAGCAACCTCAACTAGCAGCGTATCATACGTATCATAGCCTTTTGAAACCTGAAATTCTGAGTTCAGAGCTGATCTTCTCCCAGGTGCTGTGCTGTGAAATAATTAGTCCAAACACATTATTACATCCATAGAAATTTACAAACTGACATTGCATCGTCTCAAATGTTCACATTTTATCCTTAATTTCTCCTGTTCTGCATGTTAACAAACTGACTGGCATATCTCAAAAAGGAGGTGAACTCCTGACCTTTCCATTGACACCTCACATGAGCCAATAGAAGCTTCTAGTGCTGTTGCTATGGCCACGATAGCCAACCAGAGCCTGAGCTGAAGTTCAGCTCAATGACAGAAGCATTTACAGTTATTCTGTGTTCCCTTTGAAATGAGACCACACATGTACATGTGCTAAAGACAGAACAAGAACAGCTTTTAATTTCCTTCAGCTGAACACACGAGGTCAGGTTTCTGCTGCTCTTTGATATTTGGAGGATAAAGACGAGGGGCTGAAGACACGATGAAGATGAAGACTTGTTTAACTTTAATTTTAACAGAGATCGAGGCTGAGAGTGAGGAAGATGATGATGATGAAGATGATGATGGTAAAAAGGTCAGTGGTGACATCATACAAAGCCGAGGGGCGGTCGCCCTCACCACTGTCGCCATTTGTTAATGTTTACAAGTGTTGTTTATTTTCGTTGTTGTGTTGTTTATTTGTTATGCCATCGTTGATCTTGTTACGTACTTTATATGTTGTTGTTGGTGGTTGTTGTGTATTCTTAATGTGTGCTGTTGTTTGTGTAGTGTGTTGTTGTTTAGTCCTCTTGTTGTTGTTGTTGTTGTTGTTGTTGTTGTTGTTGTTGTGTATTCTTAATGTGTGCTGTTGTTGCTATTTTGTTTACCTTAGTTTTCACAGTGGGCCTGAGATAACTGTTTACCTGTTTGATTGAGTTTCCATTAAAGGAACACTCCACCAATCTTTTCTTTGGTTTTGTTAGACCTGTCATTCATGGTGGGATGTAACTAAGTAGATTTACTCGAGTACTGTATTTAAAGGGATAGTTCTTATTTTCTTATGTGGGGTTGTATGCAGACGAAGGGTATACCAAGTTGATTTTAAAATCAGGTGGAGAGCAACACAGAAATAAGGAAAAAAAAAAGAATAAAAACATTAAAATAGTTACAGTTACTAACAACCCACCAGTGGTGTTGATAAGACCCTAATAAAAACAAAGAGTTAAAATATAAAAGGCACATGTTAAAATGTTCTTACAGATGTCCGGGGAAGCAGCTCAAAGATTAAAAACAATCAGCTGTCCTTATCTCAGTGTTGTGGGGCATTTGGCAGCAGGTTCTAGCCAATATGGCGTCGCGACACTGTAGCTCCACTCTGCTGTGTTGGAAGCCCACGAGTTCACAAGCAACCTGTCTTGTCTTCATAGAGACAGTTTCAAACACAAATCAGCTTCACTATAACTCGCAGCATTCACAGACAAACATTTGTCTTTATCTGGACACATTTTCCCCACAAATACAACATGCTAACATTATTAGCACAAGCCTATGGCAGTTTACATTGTATAAATTAGCTTAGTGGCTAGCAGACATTTCCTCAACAGCAACATTTAACAAAGGTAACGTTACATAATTTGGCTCCATTACAACTCACAAGGTTCACTGACAAAACAACTGTCCTATACTAAACACGTTTTCCAAACAAATACATCATGCTAACGTTATTAGCACAAGCCTATGGCATTTCACATTGTATAAATTAGCTTAGTGGCTAGCAGACTTTTCCTCAACAGCAACATTTAACAAAGGTAAAGTTACAGAATTCAGCTCCATTACAGCTCAGAAGGTTCACTGACAAAACAACTGTCTTATACTAAACACGTTTTCCAAAGAAATACAACATGCTAACATTGTTAGCACAAGCCTATGGCATTTTACATTGTATAAATTAGCCTAGCGACTAACAAGAGAACTAGGGAGATTTCCTCTACCTATATGAAGTCAGGATAAATCACACACAAGGCTTAAAATGCTATTTTGTTAATGCTTTATCGTCTTTACCGTCATGTCACACACTGATTTCCAACAGGGAAGTGAATCTGATAGAGCACTTTCTTTAATGCCAGACTCCATTGAGAAAAACAGCCATTTAGCATCACTGAACACAGGAGCTGCTGGTCTACTGCTGCCTCCATCACTTAGTTAGTTTGTGTTACTGTTCGACTTTGGCATTTAAAAGGTTTAGTTTGGATTCACCAAAGTCACACAATAACACAAACTAACTAACCAATCGAAGCAGCAGTCGACCAGCAGCTCCGTGTTCAGTGAGCTAAAATGACCGTTTTTGTCAATGGAGTCTGGCTTTGACGAGATCATAGATGAGGAACTAAAATACTATACTTCTGCACCACTATAATTCAGAGGCAAATATGTTGTACTTTTTACAGCACTGCATTGATTTTACAACTTTAGTTACTTTGCAGATTCAGATTATTAATACAAATATAAGTATCATAATAAAATAAAACTGTATCAGTTCCTTAGTGAAATTCAGAAACTACCCAGTTCCAAAAAGTTGCCCACTAACTCTGTATTATAATGTATATTATTCTGAAATTGCCTGTTGGTCTGCATAATTAGTACTTTTACTTTTTGTACTGTGACTTTTAACAAAGTATTTCTACACGTTAGCGTTGCTACTTTTACTTTAATTAAAAATTTAAATACTCGGCCGCTCATGACGGTTAAAACATGATGAAAATCGATGCAGATATTGTCGTTTATTTTTATTACACACATTCTTCCTATGTGTAAAAAATCTGTCGCCTACATTACCCACAATGCAACTGACAGTGAGGTCAGAGATTCAGTCTCGTTTAACAGCTGACGTAGCCTGCAGCAGAGATGAGCCACAGAGTTCTGCTGAGCTCACGTCGTTCTGACTCCACACCTCCAGATTTATTTTTTTGGAAACTCCAGTCTTCAAACAACACTGAATCATGTGACATCACTCGAGGCAATTTATCAGATTTCGTGTGGCTCCCTCTGAAGCCACAAAAGGCTTCATACGGCCTCTCTCACACATGCAGTCATACTCTGTGCAACCTGTGAACACCTGAGCTCCCCTTTATCCTCACAAACAGATGAGCTGAATGTGGAGGCGGAAAACAAGAAGAGACACAGTCTGGTAAAACATAGAAAAAGACCAAAGTGCTGATGAAAAATGTCGCCAGGAAAATTGAAATTAAACAGATATGAAAGAAATCAGAAGTGTGTTGGGTGGTGAAACAGAATTCACTGCAGAGAGGAGAAAAATAGGACAAAACAAATGCAAACAACAAGAGAAGGAAGAAACAGGAGAGAACTGTTTCTGTTTCAACAGTGGGCCTGCTGTGAGCTGTGGCAGTGAGAGGAGGTTAGTGTGTTTGCACATGTGTGTGTGTGTTTGTTTTACAGTGTACATGGATGTCTTGTTGGAATTGGTTTGCTGTTTACTCTTGTTGTCTCAGTACGTCGGTGTCTCTGCTCACTGTCAGATGATGATGCTGCTTTTTGTCGGGGTGCAGGACCAAAGCAAAGACGCGTAAATGAACCTGTTCCCTCCCAGCGTCTGTCCAGCAGACCTTTACACCTCTGATTTCAATATGTGAACCTTTTACTCTTTAAATTTATTCCTGTTGTCGTTTGTTTCAGGGCTCAGCGGAGCGGGAGGCCGTGGCTACAGAGGAAATGTCAACTCTGGTAAACTACGTCCAGCCAACCAAGTTCAACTCCTTCGAAGCCTCAAAGAGTAAGAACCCAACACTCTGATGAACTGATACACTCAATCATTGTTTTATGTTTCTCTCTCAGCAAGAAAACTCTGGAAACAGTTCTCCCACAATGCTGGAAAATAAATGTCCAAACCAGTTTCATATTGAAACACCAGACTGGTATACCTAATTTTACCAGGTGTCCCACTTGACTCTGGAACATAATGACACCGTGTCCCAACAGAAACAAGTGTCTATGGCTTAGCAACATGTGTCGTCAGAGCTTTTAATCCACACTGAATATATTAAATATGTATTTCATGTCATGTAAACAAGCCACGTAACTTTCAGCTGTGAGATCAGACTGAAGTCATAACCACTGTCTCTACGACTGTAACATTACTTTTAAAACAGAAAACACACATTTTCTTATTGTGATATTCACAGGAAATGGTACAATATAGTCAGCAGCAAGTTGGTTGTTATTAGCCATGGTCATTTATTAGAAATGTTCAGCCGCCCAGCGATCTCCCTCCAGCCAGCCACAGTTAGGTTTTTGTAGTGAACTAAGGAATCATGGAGATACTTCCCAGTTTCAGCTTCATGAATCAGCTGTTCCTTGTCCATTGCAGCGCTTTTAATAAAAGCAAGTGACAGGAATAACTAAAATGATGGCAACAAATGAAAGTTAGGCTGAAAACGTCGCCTTCATTGCCTTTAAATCCAAAATGTTAGTGCAGTTTTAGTTTTAGTCCAATCTCACAGAAAGTGTTTAAGCAGCTGGAAGAGGCTTTTTGCAACAGTTTATGATGAGAATGAAGCTTTTCGCTCGCTGTTTTTGCGTCGTGACGCACCTCGTGTTTCTGCGCTCTAGGCGCCTGGCGTTTTTGCCACAGCGCTCTGAACTCCTCGAGTTGAAAAAACTTAATCTCGGAGCGAAAAGGCGCCCCACGTCATATCTGCTTTTTTTCCATTGTCCAATGGGATGATTTTAGAGGCGGGCCTTCTGTGGTGGTCACGACAACACGTTTACCGTTGGTAAACAATGGAGGAGAAACTGGTGGTAGTGGTTGCTGGATACCCAGAGCTATACGGCCTGATGATAGACAGCAGGTTGTCAAACTGCCCCTGAGTCGTCCTAAAATCTGCCTGTAAACGTCCATGATGGAGGAGAAGCTCCTGGACCAACTGGTGGTACTCCCCATGATCCAGCCTCTTTTTTAGGGTCTCATGTACCCACACAGATCTCTGTTTATCTGCTGACAGCCTCTCACCCTCAACCAGAGCTACAGACAGCACCCTCTGCCTCAACATGGCAGCATCTACACACTGATTACTGCAGGATGAATATAGTAAATAAACAGTAGACTGATTACACAGGAAGGTTAGGGTAAGGAGGTGATGGGGTGGTTGCCTAGCAACAATAAAAAGGCCTTACTCTGCAATGTCTCTTCTCGTCACACCAAAAAATACATCAAGTTTTAAGTAAACAAAGAGCGTGCGTCACTCATCCCCCGCCCACCTGTACTGAAATTTAATTTCTTTCAAGCTCGGCTCACGGCCTGTCAGACACTAGTGGCTCCGTTACACAGTTTATAAACATAATATTTTATTAATCACATTGTCATATTGCTGATTACTAATGCAGCACAAGTTGTCTCTCTTGCGCTGTGACGCTGTCTGCACAGGTTACTGATGTAGGCTACTTTTTAATTTGCCACAACAGGTCATAATGCTGGTTCAGCGATTTGCATAAAATCAAATCTGGACCAACCAGCAAAATTGGAAACTGAGCCCTCTCTAGAAAATTCCTTTAATTTCTCAAAATCTTTAATCTCATTGTTTCTTGAAATGACAAATCAGTTAACTGACGTGTTATTTTGACCTTTACCATGTTTAAACAGGAGGTCAGGTCGTTTGAACACAGAAGCATAAAAATGATTTAAATACAGAAAGTTATTGTAACTGATGTGCAGAGAGAGTGTTGGGAATCATGTTGAAACCAAGATAATTGCTGAAAAATGCCTCTGTGTGTGTGTGTGTGTGTGTGTGTGTAGAGGCAGCCCGCTGTTACCACATGTCGTCTTTTGTGGAGACCAAAGCTTTGGAGCACCTCACAAAGTCGCCAGTGGAGTTTGTGGAGTATCCTTGGCAACAGTAACCACAGCTACACCACCATGACAACCGCTTCTATACTTTGTGCTCCTCCTCCTCCTCATTTGATGCTTGTTTTCTGTATGAAACCTCCAAACATCTGTCTCAGTCACTGGAGCGATTTTAATTTTAATTTTTATTTCAGTAACAACAGTATTATCTTTGAAAATCTTTATACCAGTGTGCAGCAGGTATAATACATGTAACATATGATGATGTAAGAAGTACAGAAACAAACATATTTGACCTAATGCTCTGATTGATGTCTGACTGGAAGAATTCTGGCTGTGTTTGTGATCTTTGAGATAGAGCAGTGTCTCGGGTAAATGTTTGTCATGTCACGGAGACAGAAAATGATACTCTATAGATGTCCTCAACGTTACATCAACCAGATATAATAAATCCCAGCTGAGTCGTATCTATCCGAAGGGAACCAGAGTTGACTCGTCCAACTTCATGCCTCAGCTCTTCTGGAATGCCGGCTGTCAGCTGGTCGCTCTCAACTACCAAACTATAGGTGAGTATGAAGGTCAACATTGTATAACACAGAGCAGTGATTCCTAACCTTTTTGGCTTCTCATGACACCGTAAATCAAAGCTAAGTCTACTTTCTTAAGGTGTCAGGTTGTGACCAGTTTAACTAGTGTGATTCTTCCTCTTCAGATGGTTTTGTTTGAACTATGTAACACGAAGAAAGAGTAATAATTCTCCGCTACATCATGGTCGTTTATAATTTGTAGCCCTAAACTTAATCTTGACTTTTTGCTCCAGATTTGTCGATGCAGCTGAATCTCTTCATGTTCGAGTACAACGGTCGCAGCGGCTACAGACTAAAGCCGGAGTTCATGAGGCGGCCAGACAAACACTTTGACCCTTTCACAGAGAACACAGTAGACGGCATCGTAGCCAACACCCTTTCTGTGAAGGTACAGCAGCAGTTGTTTCCCTTTGTTAAAGCCTCGACATGTAGACACACGTCTCTTTATATAAATTTAAATTGTCCCTGCTGTGGTGTCTTTATTCCCTGACACATGTTTGTATCTGTCCGTCTGTTTCCGTGTCTCTGTGTGTGTTACAGATCATTTCAGGCCAATTTCTGACTGAAAAGCGGGTTGGTGTTTACGTGGAGGTGGACATGTTTGGGCTTCCTGCGGACACCAGGAGGAAAGCGCTGAAGACCAAAACGTCCCAGAACAACAACTCCGTCAACCCGGTGTGGGACGAAGAGCCGATTGTCTTCAAAAAGGTGACGTGATGGGAGTAACTCAGTAAAATCTGACCTCACACCACCTCCATCTGATCTGTCTGTTAATGATGCGACTTCAACTCTCTGACAGGTGATCCTTCCGACTCTGGCCTCTATTAGAATCGCTGCTTTTGAGGAAGGAGGGAAGTTCATTGGCCATCGGATTATTCCAGTGTCTGCCATCAGACCAGGTACGAACTTGGAACTTTCTCTTTGAGGTTATCTGTAAGATTCAGGTTTCTCTGCTCGCTGCTGTGATGTTTGTGCACTGCAAGTCCCAGAGATCCAGTCAGTGTAGTGTCTTCATCTGTTTAGCTTGTCTCAACACTTGTAATGGTGTACCCCAGGGCTCTGTGTTCTGTCCCCTGTTATTTTCAGTTTATATTAATAGTCTTGGTCAATTTTCATTTTTATGCCGATGACACAGTGATATATTGTGCCATCTCATCCATCACAGAGGCTGTGGCCAAACTGCAGACTGTTTTTAACGTTATCCAGATTCATCTTTCACAACTAAAGCCAGTTTTAAATGCTGTTAAATCTATGATTATGTGTTTCTCAAATGTTAGGAAGAAGCCTGTGAACACTCCTGATGTTCTTACTGCTCAGGGACAGACGTTCAAGGTTGTCAGTTGTTGCAAATATCTCAGTATTTGTCTTGATGACTCCGTTTGTCCTAAACCTCAGGTTGATAATCTTATTAAAAAGCTGAGGCTTAGGTTTTATTTCAGAAACAAGACCTGTTTCTCCTTTGAGGCCAGAAAAACACTGGTCGCTGCTACGTTTTTACCGGTTCTGGATTACGGTGATCTGTTGTACATGAATGCATCTGCACATTGTTTGCACATGTTAGATACTACATATTATAGCGCACTGAGAAGGATGAATGAGTCGGTCATTGTGTGTAGGTGCTCTTTATTCACAACCATACATTCCAATTTTTCTTTTGTTTGTTAAAAAAACAGATTTTGATAAATTTAGTTTGTGTGAATGCAGTACTATGTCAGAAAAATCGATAGACGATTGTCTTAAACGGGCAAAACTTTTACCTGAACTGACATGATAAATTAGTGTCGTCAATCCATGTCCAAACATTAATACATGCATTCTCTGTTGTCCTTCGCCTTAACTGCCTGTGTGGACTCTGAATCCACTAATTACTTGTCACATTGTTCAGAGCTGCCAGTCTTTCCTACTTTCCTCCTGAGAGACACCTGCCTCCCACTGTTTTCAAAAAGCCATTTAAAACACTTTGCAGAGACGCACTGCAGCTTTGGAAAATGTCACTCACCACTTTAAATGAAATTACTCTTCATTTTTCCTGCCTGTCATTGCGTCCATACAGGACTGATGTTTGTGAACTCAGCTGCATCTCTGACTTTTAACTTTTTTCACAGATTTCTACATCATTGTCCACCGTGAATAAATAAATGAATAAATGATGTAACTCTGGTGTTGGTAAATGTTTCCTTCAGGTTACCGTTACATCAGCTTGAGGAATGAGAAGAACCAGTGTCTGATTCTACCGGCTGTGTTTGTCTACATCGAGGTCAAAGACTACGTCCCGGACACATTTGCAGGTAAAACTCTGTCACGTTAGACTGTCCCCTCAAACAACACTTCAGTCTTTGAGTCTGTATCACAGACATGAACAGCCAAACAAAACAAAGTGGAAATATAAGCCGGATTAAAAGATTAAAAGGAAATACATTGATGAATTTATCCTTAAAAACATCCTGGATAAATAAAATTCTACCACAAGAGTCTTTGGAGAACAAGTCAGGATTTATCTTCTGTGTACCTGTCCTTTGATAGTAAACTGTTTCCACTCTCTCTTTGGTCAGTTATTTAAAGGAATATTAGCAAATCTTTCTCCCTTTCTCAAAGATGCATTGAAGGCTTGGTTGAGTTTCCAGTATTACCCCCCAGACCCTGCAGAGGATATCCAAAATCAAGTTATATGGTTGAACTCAGCATGCTAACAGATGGGAAACCCTTTTTATTAGGTACCTTTCAGAAATGTTTATCCAAAATAAAGATAAACAAAATAATTTTGTGTAGTGGTCTTACCTGGGGGGACAGGGCCTTCTCCATTGCTCCCATCGTCTCGAACTCACTCCCTAAATACATCAGAGACTCACCCTCCAACATCATCCTCACTGTGACCTCGTCACATGTCCACGTTTGGTCATGGACTTTCCACGTCCACATATGACGTCCAAGGTACCCTGGGTGTGTTGGTTGTTGACGTTCTGGGACGCCGTGTCAACTTCAGCCTGTTACATGCATTGTCTGTTTTCAAAATACACTTCTGTTTTCACAGGAAGAGAGAGAAAAAAGAACACAGTTTGGTTTTCAATCTTACAAGAAGCGAACACCAGCCTCTCGGGTAAAAGTCGCTGGTTGTTGGACCCATCCACCACCCCTCGCGCCCACCCTACCCAGACTTTCACCACCTTTACTTACGATGTTATCCTGCCACGCTTCTCCTGACGCTGCCAGACGTTGTTAAACAATAATTGTGACTGGTTGCGTATCACGCCGACATGAACGTACGGCTTTTTTCATCTGTGTCTGACGCTGGAAATCACTAACCGAGCGCCGGTATATTTGCAGCTGGAATGTCGTGGAGTAGAAGTATAAGGTAGCAGAAAATTAAGATACTCAAGTAAAGTACACGTACTTAAAAACTTCACTGCTTTAGAATCTACAGTTTGAGTTTAGAATCTCAGTTTTTGAGCCACCATCTACAGACAGTACAACTGAAACTGAACTACTACCACAACCTCGACAAACATATCCACACTGTTTGTCCACACCCTAAATATAACCACGTCCATTAGACGAGCGATACACAGACCCTCTGACGCTCACTCTGTTTTTATCTGTTTCTCTTTATCCCCTCTGCAGATGTGATCGAGGCTTTGTCCAACCCCATTCGATACGTCAACCTCCTGGAGCAGAGGTCCAAACAGCTGGCGGCTCTGACACTGGAGGACGTAGAGGAGGACACACAGGCCGAGGTCAGTCCTGTTCCTGGTGTCTTTTAATTTTAATCGACAGCAAAACATGTGGCTGTGACTGTGGTCTGTGTTGTTCTTCAGGAAGAGGCAGACAGCTGTGCGGAGCGTAAGAACGATCTGAAATCAGCTCCGCTGGAGAACGGGCTCAGCCCCGCCTCTGGACCTACAGGCCACACCCCCATCGCAACCACGCCCAAAGCCTCTGCAGCCAATCAGCAGACTGCTACAACAGGTAGCGTCCACGAGTGTTTACAGTGCATCTTAGTATTAATAAACAGCTATAAATGTTTCTTTTATTGTTGTTACTGACGCTGATTTTGTCGCCTCTGTGTTTTAGAAGCAAGCAAACCAGCAGCAAAGAGTGAAGATCTGGTTTTAAGTGTTTTGATAGGTCAGTATGTTGTTTTCTGATCAGCTTGCTATCATGTCAGTTTGGACCAAAATCTCTGAGGAATGTTTCCAGCACCTTGTTGAATCTATGGCACCAAGAATTAAATACGGGGTCCAACCTGGTACTAGCAAGGTGTACCTAATAAAGTGGACAGTGAGTGTATATGTGAAAAAATATAATCAAGGCAACAAAAAAAGTATAATAAATGAAATTCTGAAACCCTTCAGTCGTCCGAGCTTCAGCAGAAATAATGGAGAAGAAAAGACACCAGTAAAAGACATTAGATTTTTACTAAAACATGTTGTGTGATCACTGGTGCTAACAGATGTTCAAGTGTGCGCCATGGAAAATCTGCAGCAGTCGAAGGTTTACCAGAAGGAGCAGAGGCGTCAGTTTAAAGAGCTGAAGGAGCTGGTGAGGAGGCACCAGAAGAAAACCTCAGAGCTCCTCCGAGAGTTCAACAACAAGTACAAGAAGACGGCCAGACAGTGCAGCAAGAGCAGGTACACACACACACACACACACACACACACACACACACACACACACACACACAGTCAGTGTCAAAATATGTCACTGTGGTACAAGTGAAAATGATCATTATCCTTTCTTTAGCATGAAGTGAAATATAGTTAACCACAGTAATGCAAAGCTCTGCAGCATTTTTGTGTGTGTGTGATTTTCTGATGTCTGAATGTGTGTGCGTTCATCAGGGGCTCATGTTCAGACAGTGACAAGGACGAGCGCCTCCAGAAGCTGAGAGAAGAGCAGCAGCAGCAGCTTCTGGCTCTGAGGCAGGAACAGTACTACAGTCAGAAATATCTGCAGAGAGAACATATTAAAATGGTAAAGTCCAACAAAACCAGCTGCTCCAATACTGCTGACGCTGCTCACCCAAGACCATGACTAAACTTTGGTTATCTATATTTGGATGAAGGAATTTAAAGCTGCTTTTCTGTGCAGGCAGAATAGCTTGAAATAAAGCAAGTGTTGCTGAATGTAGAGCAGAACTGAATGTTACAGTTGAAAAAACAAGATTTGAATACAAAGCTAAGATCCTGTGCTCTCAGATTAGATCATATGGCAGGTATCTGCACAGATAGACCTCAGGTGGTGCTCAAGCACCTCCCTTTTTCCCTCTGCCCTTTTTTGCGAGAAATTTCTTTTCTATTTCTTTTTTAAATTCAATATTTTCGTTTTTAAATTTGGCCTATGGCATCAATTCTCTATTTAAAACGTGTTGTAATGCCTGACAACCGTATTTGAGTTTTAATGCTGCCAGACCGCAGAGCCCCTGCTCCTCCCTCATCAATGTCCGTCACAGTCACCACAGTAAACACACTTAAATCAGGATTCCTGCAGAGCAGCATCACGTCATGGACAGCCAGGTAACGATAGTGTTCGCCCTCAGCCTCGGTGCTGTTTGTAACTGTTGTGAGATTAAACCATTTAAACATCTCAAAACATCCAGACTAATTAAAGGGAAATTTCGGTTTATTTCAACCTGTCTCCTATCGTCCTAAATTTGTTTCAAGTGACTAGTGACATGAAAATAATAGTTAGCATGTTAACCGTTAGCCTAGATACAGCCGGGGCGCATAGTAGCGTCAGACCTGTTAAAACATAAGTGAACGGGCAACCTTCAAGTGCAAAGTTAGTCCACTAAACAAGCTTTTTTTCCACAAAGACCGCCTCATATCGTTAGGATAAATGTCAGAGAACATATAGAAAACGACATGTAAACGTGTTGTCTTACCTTACCGGTGTGCTGCCATGTTTGTTTACCATCTAGCTCTGCTTTCCAAAGCGCGGCCGAAATATATCTCTTGTTTCACTCTCCCTTTTTCTTGTCTTTGTCTCCTCGGACAACAACTTCACCTTCTTCCTTTTCTTTGTCGCTTTAGCCATGACAACCACGTCTAACTTTGTTCACCTCGGTTCAGCTATGCAACTCTAAAGAGAGGAGGGGGATATGACGAGGAGTGGATATGATGTATGCCATAAAGCAGCCAAATTATGTAGTCCTTTTTGTGTCTGGGTTCCTACCCGAACCCTGAAACTGCATAGTGCCAGTGCAAGTGAAACAGACTGACGGAGGTGTCATCCAACCTATTGTGAGGTGATGTACCATCACAAGGATCTTGGATATATATTCTGAGGGCTCAAAAACTCCATCGTGTTGCTTTAAACTTTATTTAGAGGATCATTTAAAATATAAGTATGTGACTTCTTAATGAAATCACAGCAGTGTTCTCGTCTACGCAGATTTTATTCTTTACAAATTCTAACGTGGCGAATTGAATTTAAAAAAATGTAAATTTAATTTTATTTAGGAACCAGCAGGAAATGAAGCATTTAGCTGGAGTTGTGATTTATTGACTCATTCCTGTGTTTCCAGCGGCTTTTCAGCCCCCAGACTTTGGTGTTTTTAGGCAGCCTGTTACTGTTTTCCAGCGGGGCTAGCGCCACAAAAAGAAGTTATTTTTAACGAAGACAATGCTGCGTTTCCTGTCAGGATTATGTCCCCAAAACCAGGTGCAAGATCTTTCCTAACTATGACCACATGGTTTTGTGCCTAATCATAAGCACACATTAACCACAGCGTTGTTAAAAGCTCCAACCAGTCCACTACACATCGTGCAAATGTAACATATCCATGGTCTGCAGAAACGCACAGTGACAACATTTTTTCTGGTTGTACGTTGGCCCAGCATGCTTTGAACATCAGTGTGTGATTTAAATGTCGTGATGTGTTTCCTTCAGCTGACAGAGCGACTGACCAGTCTGGCTGAGGAGAGTCACAACACCCAGATGAAGAAACTCAAAGACATCTGCGACAAGTAAGTGACACGTGTGAGACATAAAGGACGAGCACTACCGTGTTTAATCTCTAAAGGGGAATTACACGAAGAATCACACTGTCACGAGCTGCTTTCATAACAACGTAGCTCGAAAGCGTTTCCTCTGAGTTGCTTCAGGCTGCGGCTGCTTGAGTCTCCGCAGAGCGTCTCGTCATGTTCACAGTAGGAACAAGTAGATACCATGAAACTGAACAAATCAGAACTGATTTTCTCTTTACCATCAACATTTGTGTCCTCGGTGTTTTTTCATAATAAATTGAAGCTATAATCAGGTATGCTTTTATTAAAGGAGGACATCTTAGGGTCAGTCAGTTAGACCTGCTGCAGATACAACCATTTCAGCGCCAAACTTTATGTGTTTAACCTCTTAGAGAAATTGTTTTTCAGCAAACCCTCCCACTGTGAGCTCTGATGTTTTTCCTGCTGCTTTAGGGAGAAGAAAGAGTTGAAGAGGCTGATGGATCGAAGGAGAACAGAGAAGATCAACCAGGCGAAGACCAAAGAGAAACATCTGGCTGAAGAGTACGATCCATAACATATAGCCATCCACTGCACCTCAGCCTTGATACCTGCTGTCGCTCCTTTATCTCCTTCATACACTGATCCAAGCAGCTGGTCTTGTCAGAGGAGAAAGCTCAAACTCATCTGTGTGTGTGTGTGTGTGTGTGTGTGTGTGTGTGTGTGTGTTCTCTCCCAGGGAGAAGATTGAGATCAATAAGTCCTACGTCAATGAAGTCGTCCAGAACATAAAACGGGTGAGCGGAGGATGAAGAATCTGGGTTACAGGATTTTTTGTTTGATGGGTTTTTCCTATCGTCTGAAAACTGCCGAGACGATGATGAAAATTTTATGTTTGCAACAGTTTCTCTCTGCGTAGCCGAAGCCCCGTCTCTCTGCACTCATGAAACGCCTCATGAGACTCTTTGACTCTGTGTTTGTCTCTCTGTCTCCAGCTTGAGGAGACTCAGACAAAGCGCCACGATCAGCTGGTGGAGCAGCACAACGAGCTGCTGCAGGAGATACAAGACCAGAAACCAAAGGTAAAATAAATTGATATCATCCTGTTTCTGTTTGTTATGAATTTCCTTTATTCTTGTCTTTCACCACTTTGCATACTTCACACTTGAACGCACCACACAGCAAGACATTTCTTGTCCACGGAGCTCCAAGCTGCTGCTGCTGCTGTCTGTGGCTCTGTACCCACACAGTTTAGGATCAGGACTGACGTCAACGCAGGGCGTTTGAGTGATGTAACGTGCCCTCTGGCAGCCATATTGGAGCTGCTCAGCTGCTGGCAGTAATGGCTGACAACAGCTGGTTGCATCTCTGAATGTACCACCCGTCTGTCCCAACAGTGGGAAATAAACCAGGCACATTTTTTGTGTTGTTTTTGACTGAGTCATCACCAATATTCACTGATTTTGGTTTACATAATCTCCGTTTTGTTTGCAGCAGTAGCTAATCGTTAGCTCAGTTCAGGACGAGATGTGACAGCCCCTTGATGCACATCCTTGAGACTATGAGTGGGAGTGATGGTGCTGTCTGTTTCCGACTGGGAGCCAAAGGGTTAAGGTTAGATGGATAGAAGAGTAGGAAGGAGAATCGGGAAGGCAGACCCAGGAAGAGACGTTTGTGTGGACCGGGCCGTAGACTCTACCTTCCCTTCTCCCTTTAGGTTTAGAAAGGGTAAAAGGCTTCATTAGTCACCAGGTGGGTCCCCTCCTTCACTGGTGCTTGAGTGATAGGCCTACAACATCCGGCGTCCCAGGTGCACCCCTTTCTGCTTTTACTCCCTCATACCCTGCTGTCATTGGTGGCATTTCGGGGCCCAAGTCGTGTCTCTCCTCTCAGCCACCACCTCGCTTGTTCGGCTGCACCAGAGAGGGCTTTGATGTCCTGACGTTGGACTTGGCCTTGAATTCCCATTTCTTTAAGCAGCCTGGTAGTTGACTTGCCTACGAAGCCCAGGGTTTCTACCCAAGTATGGAAAGTATGGAAAAGTATGGAAATAAATTTGATCAATTTCCAGGTATTAAAAAAAGTATGGAAAATGAAAAATAAAGTCTGGAAAAATATTTATGTTTCCAGACTATTACCACTGTTCTAAAATACTGTTTTCTAAAATAGAAAATTAGGTATTTCCAAAAATAATTTAAAGGGCCAGTGTGTAATATTTGGCATGGTTTATTGTCAATCTGAATCTGAATCTGAATATTCTACCCATTAATATGTTTATACAAGTGTATAATCGCTATAAAATAAAATTCGTTTGGTTTTCGTAGCCTTATAATTATGCTTTTATATATATATATATATATATATAGCAAGGGCCTTGCTTTAGAGAGGTCGCCATCTTG